CAAGCTGCGCATAACTAACTCAACTGCTTTATTTGGACAAACCGCAGCCACAGTCTCCCCCCAGCACGGCCTCCATGGCCTCACCCATCCAGCTGTGTGTCCTGTCCTGGCTTTCGAAAAATAGAAACATATACAATTTCCAATGCAGCCCAGAGATGAGCAGTCTCTCAGTTTACTCATGTGATTGGATTTGAAAAAAAGGATATTGATCAAATATTAGAGATTATAAAGGATTCTTTTTCAACAGAATGGTAATAGAAAACCCTAGTAAAATAAATAAATAGAAAGGTTTGTAGGAATAAAGATTTTGATGATAATTATTTGTAACAAAAAGTATTTATTTCAACACCAATTAAAGTAATTTTCAAACACCATTCTTTCAAAAATACAAATAAATACATTCAAATAAATACATCCAAATAAATACATTCTGTCCTAACAAGAACTTTTTGTAATAAATTGCATTTATTTTAAGGATATCCTTTAGGTAAATCCTAATATCTTAATGTATCTATACCATTTATAATTATTCCCCCAAATAAAGGTGCCTCATCTCTGGCAGCTCATTTGGTTTGTTCCGGTTTCATTTCGGGTCTCCGGATTCGGGTTAGTTTCGCCGAGTGCGCCGTGTGGAGACCATTAAAAGTGCATTTAGTGAAAATTTATCTGGGCGCAGAAAGGTAGCAACCGCAGGCGCATTTTCGACTCGGCTAGCTACAAGTGTGCGTGTCCGGAAACGGAAATAGAATAATTCTGCAGGCACTCTCGACAGGCAGTTGCAATAGCAACAGGAAGTCCCAGTCTCTGTTGCCCTTTTATCCCCAGGATATCTCCTAGATATATCCGTCTGCCTGTAAGTTTGTATTTTCCTCTGTCTGTCTGTCTGTCGGTCTGTGTGTTTGTTTGTTTGTTTGTCTGTTTGTTTGCTTGTTTGCCTGCTTGTTTGGCGTTGGTGCGAAGGTTTTACTGTTTATGCAAATGCTTTTGGCCCACGAATGCTTTAACCGAAAACACTTTAACCGCATTCACCTTGGGCCTGGCTGCCTTGTTAGTAGCCATTGAGCACAGAACAGACAGGCAGAACAGCGCCGTGTCCTAGCCCCCAGTTACAGTTGGTCCTGCTCCACGGGACTCCTCCGGTCCTTCACTACTACCAACACCCCACCCCGCCTGGACTGTTGCCCAAAAGGCCGTAAAATGCCTGCAAGTTACGGCCATGTGCCCCTTGGCTGCTGTTCCCGAAAAATGTTTCATTGCCGGCGAGTATTGGAGTCGAGAGAGAAAGAGATCCTTCTGCTGCAGACACCTCCTCTGGAGCACCGCCTCCGCTTATCCACCTTCATGCCTGCCTGGGTTTCTATTATGTAGCATATCGTAATCTCACTTGAGTCAAAGGTTTAGCAGCAGACACCCGAGCAAAACACCCGCACAAACACCGTCGTCAGCTAACACTTTGTAAATAGTCATCGGCGTGTTTATTACTCAGCCGTGCCGGAGTGTCTGCTCCTCCTGCTCCTCCTCCTGCTCGTCCTTGCCCATCCAATCCGCCGTATTCCCGCAGCCGTGTGGTCCTGCGGTTAGTTGCTAGTGTTGAGGAGTAATCGTTGTTGCGAAAGATTTTCAGTATCCCGTATTCAGTAGTCAGTAGTCAGCATTCAGGAGGCGTGTGTGTGCGCTTGACTTCTCGCTTAATGAAAGTACAGTTTAAACTTTGCATATCCTGTGAGCATCGAGGATAACGGAAACTAAAAGTAAATGAAAGTAGAAAGTTTCGTGGTGTTTTCATAAAATTAAATGTATTAAATGTAGGTAAAAATAGTTTCCTCTTTGAGTTAATTTTGATATTAACAACTTGTATTTATTTTACATAAAAATATATAAAGCTTTATACACCCTTGCCGCGAAAGATGTTAATTCCGACCAAATTATTTATGAATATATGCATATACATACATATATTCTTGATCAGCATCAACAGTCGAGTCTTGTCCGTTTGTTTATCTTAATCTTAATAAAAATACTTACTTATAATCATACTAGTATATGTGCAAGTCAAAACGGGCCGGATCGAACGACTATATCATATAGATAGCTCCCATAGGAACGATCATTAAACGTATGCCTACCGCTCTCTGTGTAACTCTAGAGGTAACTCTTTCCCCCTTACGCTCTTTGTGCCTCTCTAGATAGGCCTCTTTCTCTATAGCGCTCCCTCCCTTTCTCTAATGCGATCCCTTACTCTCTCGCTCAAACTTTCTCTGTTCTCTTGCCTGGGGAGTATAAATAGAGGTGCTGCAGGCCCGCCGGCCTCAGTCTGTCCGTGGTTTCTGCAGTGATAACATCTGTGGTGATAGTGATTGTGATTACCCTGCGACACCAAAACTATGACGTGGCCAATGGAATGCATCTGGATAAACAGGAAGAAGTGCGTGTCCCCAACTTCGGTAAGTCATTCCCATGACAATTATATTATGTATGTACATATATATAGATGCTATACGATGGATCAGGCCTAGCTATTAATTTATTTTGCAATTAATTACCTTATTGCCATGGATGCCATTAGTAAATTTAAGTTAAAGTGACACAGCAATTTTTATTAAAGATATCTAGAAACACATACTGAGTTCACAGCCTAACTTGATTATATATTATTCGCGAATATTGATTTCTTACGATAGATTAAAAACTGATCTTAACTTTTGGGCCAACTTTTGCTATATCATTATACCTTTGCAGGGTATTGTAAATTTAGTCGAAAACTTACAACTTAGTGAAGGAGTCATTTTCGACCCTATAAACCATATATATTCTTGGTCAGCATCAACAGCTAAGTCGATCTAGCCATGTCTGACAGAATAATAAATTAAAATTTGTTTTTTTTTTTTTTCAAAATTTTATAAGGGTTTCATTGTTAAAATTGTCAAAAATGTAACTTTTTAAAATTTCAAAGTTTTCTATACAGTTTTGTTAGCCCTGTAAAATCTAGCACAGGATTGGTATCCGAATTAAAAATAATGCATTTTAAGCGTAGTTATGATATTTGAAAAACTTTGATTTACCCAAGAAATGATTATATATTTTATATAAATTAGAATACACATATTTTAAGTTTTCTTGCTGGTAACCAAAAGCTTATGATTCCTAAAAGCCATATGTATTTCTATATCTATTATCTTATTTGTAATCAAAATCAAAAGATAATATTAAATTACAATATATATGTACATATATGTTCCAATTTCAATTCAGTTTTCAAGTGTTTAAATAATTTTTCAGTTCCTAAATATATTCTTGCTTTGTGTTTATTTTGATTTTGCTCAATATATTTTATTTATATTTATAAACCTCTTTATTATATTAAAACTCAAATACACAGTTTTCTGTCTTTCATTACCAATTCAAATTCAATTTAAAGGTATTTAATTCTATTCTATTCAAATAAATTTAACAAAACAAACCACATTCAATTTTCGTTTATTTGTAAACTTTTGCCATTTTAGGTTTACCCTTTGTTTAATTTAAACTTCAATATATTATATATGTATATATAATTCAGGTATTACTACAAACGAAATCTGATTAAATTTCACTATTTTCGTGCTTTTAGTTTAAAACTTTACAAACAGCTCTCTGCCTCTGTTGTAGCGTTTAGGAGCGGAGAGTAATTGGTAACTGCTACTTAGGAGGCACTAACTACACTTGCTGCCAGGATATTTCAGCCGGTATTTCCCCCTTGACGTCACACCGAACTGGCGAAAACGAAACAAAACAAACATTTTGCCTCGCACGAAATTTATCGTTTGCATAAATTTGCTTTATTGCCTGGCTCTCCTGCTCCCTCTGCTTGTGTGTGTGTGTGGCGAAGTGAGTTAGTGTCCTGGCTGTTGTTGGTGTCTGTGTGTGCGTGTGCTGCCAACGGAAGTGTAACTTTCGCTTCCAGGCCAGACAAGGCAACACCAGCAGCAACAACAACAACAGCAGTGAGTCAAATGCGGCGAACAAAGTTTTCCATTATTCAATTTAACTAATGAAACTGAAAATTCATTTTACCACATTAACAAACACACACACACATACAGAGAGGGATAGAAAGGACTCAGGACGAAGGCAGGAAATGTGACTCGCCTACGGCCAGGACATGTGTGCGTGCCGGACTCCTGTTTTTCGGGGTCTCTACATTCCAGTATTTGAACAGCCATAAAGCGCGGAAATTTATATTCGGGACGAACTCAACAAGGACGACCGCGACAAGGCGCCGCCCCTAGTTTTTGTTTGTGTGTGTGTTTTGGCATTTAAATAATTAAGTATATTTTTAGGCCCTCATTTCGGATGTCCATTTGCGAGTTCCATGTGCGGGCTAGGACTCAGCTTGACGGCGGTTTTGAATGTCGTGAATTACATTCTTCCACTTCTTGATGGTCTTTATCTGGGAACTTATCAGAAACAGGCTCATTTACAGAAATGTTTCACACAAATCTTTCTTGGGAATTGTTTAGGTATAGTTTTGGTTTTTAAAAAAGATTTAGTATGATTAGAAATCCCTTAAGATTTTCGGTTTCCAAAGTTACTGAGGTCTAGCTGCCATTTTATAAATATATGTTCTGAATTCGGTAATAATGGCTTAAAAAAACTAACTAAACAAACTTGAATTTATTTATCTTTATAATAAAAAATCAAATGATATTATTCAGATATTTTACTTTATGTGTGCGGCTCACAATGGCACTTGGTTGGTATCTTAATACTATACAGTTAAGTTCCAACATACAGTTCAATATCGATACTTTAACATAAAAAAAAAATATATAAATATGCACACTTAAAAAATACATTTATTCAAAAAAATCGATAAAATTCCCCAAATGTTTAGGGCACTTTCTCTTTCTCTGGCTTTACACATCTTCAAGAATATATATTTTTTTAAATGTTCCACCTTGGCAAAGACACAAAATCAAAATGTAATTATTATTATGAGAATCTTAAAATGACGTACCATTTTTATTTTTTAATTACTTCAATTGGAATTTTGTTGATTTAATGAATATTACTTGGTTATAAAGAAACCTCATTGAAAAGCGAAACGCTTGAGCGCTGCTAGTCGCCGTCCTCCTCATCATCAAGGTCGTCGTCATCCGAGGCTTCGTCCATGTCATCGCTAATGGTGTTGCTGTCGGCGCTATTGAACTGCCCATCATCGTCTTCGTCATCAGTGTCATGCTCATCCGCCGCATCCTCATCCAGATTCTCTTCGGCACTGGCGTCCGCATCCTCGCATTCCGGGGATTGCGTCTCTGCCAGGTGAAAGGTTTCCAATGGCACAGTGCCCACCGCCATATGGTCGCCATTGCCTAGATCTTGGCGATGGATCAGGGCTAGCGGTGCCTCCGACAGTACAGTGAATCTCTTGCTTACCGCTTCCGGGGTCTTTGCACGTTCTGTGGCCGGCTGCTTGGACTGTACTGCATTCTCCTCCCCGGCGGCGTTGCGATTCCGACTGCTGTGGTGTGAGTTCTGTTCCCTGGCTGAGGTTGAGGCCGACATAGTACGTGGCTGGAGGAGCGGCATGGCGTCTGGTTCAATCGTTCTCTCATATTCTGTGAAATTAAACAGCGGCGGAAGCGGACGACCATTCGGCAGCTGCTGTTGCGGATCGAGACGAAGGTCGTCGAAGAAGGGATGCGCACACCCCATTAGAGGCGTGACCCGGGCATTGGGCGAGTAGATGAGCATCTTGGACACTAGATCGATGGCCTCTGTCGGTGTACGGATCCGGAAAACCTTGGACCAGGGATGTGGCTTCAGCTGCGGCAGCTTGAACTGCTTGTACTGCGGATTCATGTCCCGTAGCTGCTCCGAGGTTGGCGTACCCATCACCTTGACGATCTCAACGATTTGATCTACGCCCGAGTCACCCGGAAAGAGAAGCTGCCCGAGCAGCAGCTCAGCCATGACGCAGCCGGCGCTCCACATGTCGATCTTAGTGCTGTACTCGGTGGCCCCAAAGATGAGCTCCGGGGCGCGGTAGTATCTGGAGCAAATGTAGGATACATTGGGCTCCCCAACGATCAGCTGCTTGGCACTGCCGAAGTCGCATAGCTTGAGCACACCCGATTCCGAGTCCAGGAGCATGTTCTGTGGCTTGATGTCCCGGTGGCAGTAGCCCATGCTGTGCAGATAGGCCATGCTCCGAAGCAGTTGATAGATGTACAGCCGGACGTAGTTAACCGGGAGCGTCTGCTTGACCCGGGCGTACTGCCGCTCCACCTTGTACAGCGTCTCCGGCATGAATTCCATGACCAGGTTTAGGTAGACCTCATCCCGCTTCTCGCCGCTGGAAAAGAAGAAGTATCTTAGGGTGACGATATTGTCGTGGCGCAGCTTTCGCATTATCTGCAGTTCGCGGTTCTTGAAGCGCCGATCTTGTAGAACCTTCTTGATGGCCACCGCCTCATTGGTGGGCACCATCTTGGCCTGGAAGACCACGCCAAAGCTGCCGTTGCCAACGACCTTGGCGTCCGTGTAGCTGATCTCGGTCATCACATCCGGCCCGTACGCATTGGTGGCTATCACCGTGGTGACCTTGTTGGCCAGGCCATTGCTCTTGCCCTGGGAAGCCATCTTCGCCCCGGCGCTTCCTTGGATCCTTGGTTGAGTGTGTTTATGGGCTGCTTCTCGGTGCTCTTTATACATAAAACTGTGCGCCGACGAATTCAAGTGTAAACAATTTTTGTTATTATAAAATTTCGAGTTTGAAGTCTTACACCAGGCCAGACTAAGATCAGCGTCGCTTTGTGCTTCTTTTATTGAAAGCACGTTTTCGTGTCAGCCTTAATGGACATTAACATTAAACGCGAATGTAATTAATGTGATGCAACAAGGCAGGACTCATTTTAATTAAAGGAAACTCATTATATTTCTTTCTTTAAATCTTAAATGTGTTACGACTTAGCTTAAACTTTTGCTTACGAGTATTGTTTACTTTTGTCGCGAGGTGGTAAAGCTTATGCTATCGATAGTGTAATCGATAAGTGAGATACGCAGCACTGCTAAGGAGGAACGATCACAACCGTAGCATTACTGTGCTTAAGTTAGGTGGCAACGCCAAGCGGAAATGGAAATATAATAGGTTAAGTTTAATGAAGCTAGCTGGTCAAAGTCAAATTTAGTTGAAGCTGCATATATATTTTTCAATTTATTGCGGCAGGAGGGAGGGTTTGAGGGAGCATTCATATAATATATAATATAATAATATAATAATATATTTTTAATCTAATTAGCTTATAAATGAAAAACTAGAAACTAAAAAAACTACTTCTCAGACTTTGCATCTCTATTAAATAAATGCTTGCATTCATATAAACATTGGGCTGTATTGAGTTTATGTTATCAATAATCTAAAGACACTTGAAATTGTTGTGAAAATAAATATAAGCTGGATATCTGATCCTCAATAATAACAAACTAGAGAGAATATGCATTTTTCTTATGCAAACCATATTTGTAAACAAAGAATTAAAAGCTTAGTCATCATAAATTAAACTCTTCATTGAGCTTTGCAAGTACCAATGAAAACTTAAATTAAAAACTTACCCAAAGTAACTTATTTGTATTTGTTTAGAAATAAAGTCTGCAAGATATAGCTATAGCAATCTGATACTTACAGTACTTACTTGTGTTGTGCTGTCAAAAACGGAAACTTGGTATTTAATAGCTGGCACACTCATAATTCATAAGGACCCGTTGTAGTTCTCAGTTTATTCTCTGTAGTGGAAACTGATTCCTTAGTTGAGTTGCTTGAGATTGCTTTTGGCCCTCTTTGTTGGCCGGGCCACTTGAGCTGAGCTTATGCAAGGCAAGGCCATTCATAATTCGTGAGGGACATTCCTTTGTGCTGCCAAGTAACTTGGCTAATTTCTCGGACCCCGAACCCGAACCCGAACCCAGAACCCCTGGCATTGTCGTAAGACTCGCCGCCTTGAAAGTTGCGCGCCTTTGTCTTTTGGCATCTGGGTTGCTTATCGCCCCAACTTGACTTAACTTGGCCCGAACGCTGACTTGGCCATCCTGTCCAGGGGCTGGCTTATCTGGCGGGAACTTGGCTGCTGCTGTTATGCTTTTTACTGTTTCGCTGCGGCTCAAGTGGCCCGGAGGGTGGCATTCCTTCTTATTTGGCCCCTGATAGCGGCGACCCCACTTTAGATAGCCAAGTGAAATGGAATAAAAATGCTTTGCTTTGTATAAAATGTCGCTTGCTGTTTATTTTTTTTATATTATTTGTAAGTTTATTGTATATATTAGATATATATTTATATATTTATATAAAAGAGACACACTCATTGTAAAATCTTGTTAGAGACATTAATCGTATATATTTTTCGTTTACACCAATATGCATTAGATTGTATAATTGTTTTTTTAATCGATAATATTTCATATGCATTCCCATATTCATTTCACACACAAAATCGTTGAGTAATATTATATTTCCTTTGACTATGATTGAAGTCGCTAAAAGAGAGCAAGTGAGTGGGGGACATACTCCGGTAATTCGATATTTACATAATTCAGAAGGAAAGGGACCACAAACGGACGGACTTTAAATACTTGCAAATGATTAAACTAAGCTAAATAGGGCTTAAAATATATATATCTATATATGTATATGGTCAAAGGTTTTCCGCTTGCGTGGCTGTTTAACTAGGCTTACACAAATATTATTGAAATTGTTGGACGTTGTTGGCATAAGTAAGTAAGTAGTTTTCGGGGCTACAGACAAATAGTGTTTGCATATTAGAGTATATTTTATTTAAATTACATACATAGGCTATTACATTTATTTGGCTTTTCTCGTTGCTGCTGCTGCTACTGCTGCTGCTTCTGGCAGTAAAATTTAATTTTACATAATTCTGTGTGCTCTTGTGTAAGAGGCATTATTTAAATGCGTATCAAATTGGTTCTTAGTAGTTAATAAAAACGTATATTTAATTTACTTCCAGGCCCACACACACACACACACATGATGGCAGGATACAAGCACAACAATAAAATTTTATATTTATCGCTAACGATTTCCTTGTATCTGTGTATCTGCGCGTGTCCTTGTGTGTGTGTGTGCGTGTGCCTGGCGAGCATAAATATGTTTGTGCTGCCTACTTTTTGGGGCAGGCCGGGCCAAAGTCTTCGCTTCCACGGCAGTGTGTCTGGCTTGTGCGCATATTTTAATAAATTTTATGCCGCTGAAATGTGCGCCGCTTATCATTAACGCACAATTTATTTTTGCTTTTATGCTCCGGCCAAAAGCCGGGGCCCGGCCCCCAATTGCTGTTTTTTATCTGTGAGATACATTTGCTTTTTTGGCTTTTGATTATTCGCGTCTTAAGCTAACTTTTCGTTTCTGTTCCTTTTTTTTTGCTGAGCTGATTAAGTTTCTAGAACTCGAACTCGAACTCGAAAAATATCCGGGAACTAAAGTATATATATACACAGTGAGAGAGACTCGCTACATTATCTATTTACATGTTGGCATAATGTGCATTTAATTTGCAAACCCGCAACGCAATGCGAAACTTTTAGCTCAACTTTGGCCCCGCCGGCTTTTAAATGTTGTTTATTGTTGCTCAGCTCCTGCTTGTTGATGTTTCTGGTTTGTGTGTGTGTGTGGCTGCTGCTGCTTTCCATAGCATACTTTTGCGCAAGGGCCCGCATGTAGTTTCCATTTAACTTTCCACTTACATGTTGTTTATTCTTTTCTAGAGCCAAGCCTGCTCTTGTTCGTAGAGCTGCTGTTGCTGCTGCGAGTGTTGCTGCTGCTGCTGTTGCTGTTGCTGCTGCTGCAGCCAAAGTTTGCAGAAGGCTGTGGGCGGCGGGTTGGAGGGGCAGCCTGTGCCGCCAGCTGTTACTGCATGGGCGTGGTCGGGGGGCTTTGGCTATTGCAAATTAAATTTAGCTAATTCTCACAATTCTGTGCTCATTTCGCTTACAATTGCGCTCTGCAGTTCGCATTGTTGTTGTTTTGCAGTGGCAGTTGCAATTGCAGTTGCAGTTGCAGTTGCAGTTTTTGCAGTAGTTCGTTGCAGTTCCATGAAAAGAAATGCGGTTGGCAGTGGAGAAAAGGAAGAGAAGAGAAGAGAGAGAGAGAGAAAATATTTGCATATGTTAGAAAAAGTTACCATGTTGTTGATTCGATTTTCGCATTTAGGTTTTCCATTGCCTGGGTGAGTGTGCGTTGTGCGTGTTAAGTGTGTGTGGTGTGGTGAGTGTGTTATGTAAGTATGAGTCGGGGCTTGTTAGTTTGCTCTAGCGACTACGGTGCGTATACGTTATATTGTGCTTTTCAATTCGAAATAAAATAAATGTACAACAAAAGTATAGTTTAAGTGCCGCTCGCCACAGTTTATGGCCGCAGTTAATCCAGCTTTATCGCCTCCGGCTGCCACAAATTGAATACTTTTTATCATTCCAGTTGGCGCCGTAGCACAAATAATTACTTAATTTAATCATAAACCAAAAAGAAATCCAAAATGAACACTGGGTTGGGGGGTTGAGTTTTTATATAGCCATTCATAAGAGATAAGCTTATGAATGGCTTTCCCCCCGGAAAAAATGTGCGTCAAATTTACGATTGCCACTCGGGCACTTTCAACATTTTCAGCACTTTTCCCTGCTCCCGGATTTCCCTTTTTTTTGTTTCTCCCCACCCGTTTTCTATTTTCTTTCTGTGACAAAAATGCGTAAAGTTTTTGCCATTTCGCCTTTGTTGTTGCCGCCGGTTTCCTCGATGGCGTGTTGGAAAACCCACAGCCACAAGTCGCGATGGGCTCCAAATGGCCGAAAGCCAGGGGTTAAGGGGTTTTCGAAGTGGAAAGGGAAGAGGGCCATATCGGGGACGGAAAAACAAGAGCTGTCGTTTGTTGTGCCAAGGTCGACCCATTGTGGGAATACCCTAGTCAGAGATAGAGTTGTATATACATCTTATTTCGATGGGGATATAGGTACCCTTGAAGAAAGTTTTAGGTAAAAATTTCAAGAAATATACATTTATTAGCATTAATTCACAATATTTTCTAAGCTTTTGTTTTTATATTTTAGTTAATATTCTGGCAAATTTTTGAACTAGACTTATGTCAAGAGTCTGTACAATTAAGAGAAAAGTTAAGTTCTTTAGGAATTTTTTTTAAGATTTCTAAATAAAAAGGGAACTCTCTTTATTCTTTATTTTTTATTCTTTACTAACTCAATTCCTTTGAGAAACTTTCCCACATTTTTGTGTTGTCCAACATATTCAAGTTAATTAAAGTAAAGAGTAACCAAAGGTCTGAAATCCCCCAGAGGCTACCATTTTCCCTTTCAACTGTTTGATATTTTTTGTTGTGTTCGCTTCTACAAAATTTTGTTTATTTGACTCCAAAGTATTTCTACGATATGAAATGTTTGCCTAGCCTGGTTGTATTTTTTCCTTTCTGTGGATGTCGTTTGTTGCCAACATTGCGCCTTTTTGCTTTCATCGCTTATTTTTTTGTTGTGGGTTTATTTTTGTTTTGTGGCCTGTTGTTTTGTTGAAATTTGTATTTATGTGCGGGTCGGAGGAGGCATCGAGCCGGCAGAAGTATCATTTACCCGGCTCGCTTTTTCCTAGCCTCGTATATTTTAATGTTTCTGTGTGTAAGAGTATGTGTGTGGGTGTGTTTTGTGTCCTATCATATTTTCCCTTATGTGTGTGTGTGTGTGGGTTTGTTGGTAGGCCTTTTGTCTTCGTGTGCTGAAAATTATGTATATTTTTAGCACTTTCGCTTGTTTTGTTTTCGCTTATCGAGTTTGAAGGTCATTTACTTGCAATTCCCAACTCGCCTCCTGCCGGGTTATCACACACATTTCGTATGTATATATATATATATATATTTATGTATATGGTGCAAATGTTGGTCTGTCTGCTCGCCTGGCTGGGTAGTTAATTTGTTGTGAAATTGTCATTTTGTTGCTTCAATGGCTGCGTGCAATGCGGCGTATGAGTAATATTTTTCAACGCCATAGCATACTTTTTAGGGCATGCGTTAATGAGGCAAACAGAGAGATCCAACGGACATTTCTGACTGCTTCATGGCAGACCCCGAATTAAATTGACATGTTTAAAGTCAATTTGAACCAAGTTTTGCTCGTGAACAACAGCAGAGCAGAATCCGCCCCAAATGACATTAACCTATTCATTTGTAAATAGGCTGTCGAATTCCCTGGTGAAATTCACCCCCGACCATCTCTACTGGGTGGGCTTACATAAATATTTGTGCGTTTTTGTTGCCTTGCCAAGCGTAAAAACGTCGAAGACGACGACTACGACGATGGCATTGGTAGAAGGAAAATCGGGAAATCGGAGGGAAAAGCAAAACAAACGGCTCACGCAGCAGCGCAGTCAAATCAAATGTAAATCCAGAACGAAAGCAAGAAGCAAGTGAAATTGAAATGAAAATGAATGTTTGCCAGAGAGCAGACCCAGTCATTGTTCGAGCTTCCTTCACTCGATTGTTATCGTTCTCCCCCTCCAAACCCTAAAGGCAATTGAAAATTGGCAGCTGGCTGGCTGGCTGGCTGGCTGACTGGTTGGGTGAGGAGGCCAAAAGCCCAACGGGGGCGTTGCCTTACCCGCGTTGCGTAGGCCTAACGGGCACATTAATACATAATTTATAATGTTTTCGTTCCGTTTTGTTTTCGCACACTTAAAGGAGATGTTCCGGGTATTCCCCTCTATCGTCTTGGATTGAGGGTGGATTTTTTTAAATTTCCCGAGATGTTCAATAAAATTTAATGTTCCACGGGGATAATGGGGTCACAAAGACAAAAGGTATATCCGGGTCATAATCACTTGCTAAGGACTTAATTTAATTGGAATTGGATTTTTTTATGTTATCTCTTAAATAATAATTTATAAAATTTCATAGGAATATTTGTTCTTTATCATAATAAATAAAGTACTATTAAGTATTATTTTATCTAAGAAAAATCACTATTATTGCAATACATTTTAATGTTCTTCATGACAGGATTTCAACAGGCTCAAAAAGGCTTTAAAACAAAGGCTGTATTGTCCATCTCCTCTTAACTTTTCAATCTGGGTCTAATGTAACATCTCAAAGATAAAACTTCAACATTATCCAGAACAAAGGCGGATACACTCACACACACAATATGCCATTGAGGCTCGACTTGAATTCAAACTGGGAACGGAAAAAATTGCAATTTCCAACTAAAGGGGGACAAAGTCACTTCTGTTGTTTATTTCTTTCTATCATGCAGGTCAAAGCTTGTATCGGTATCGGTATCGGTATTATTTCTTTGTTAGCTACAAAAAAAAAAAAAAAACGTAGAACAAAAAACAGTAACAAGTAACAAGTAACTTGCAACTGAAACGGAAACGGAAACAGGTAGCACAGTTGTACCTACATTTCAAGCGGTACTCGAACAAACGGAACCGAAAAACAAACTGAAAATATAAAACTTACCGTCGACTACTTTGGATAATTGGCGATAGGATTATCTCTAAGCTGGAGGAAATGTTTTGATTTTGTTGCAGATTGGAGTTCGTTGCTGCTGCTGCTGCTGCGGTGCCAGTTGCTGTTGCTGCAGATGCAGATGCAGTACCTGCTGCTGCAGCTGCTGCGGTTGTGGGGGTTGTGGGGTGTTCATTCGCATTCGCATTGGAGGTGGCTATGGCTTTTGTTTGGCTATTGGAGTGACTATTGGTGGTGTGGTGGCTACTGGTATTTGGATTCTGATGCGGATGCGGGTTGGCATTGGGACAATTTAACGTTTGGCCGGCCGAGGTAATTGGCCCCAGTTGTTTCGCCATCTGTTGACCGCCGTAGACATTCGCATTGCAATTATCGAAATTAATATTGCCCGTTGTCGAAGTCGACTGCCGACTATTGTTGTTGTTGATACAGTTGCTGATGCTGCTGTTGTTGTTGTTGTTGGTGCTATTGTGACTTCCGGTGGGCGACATCAGTGGTGCATCTGCATCGAACATATCGTCAGCCTCGGCCGCCTCATCGTCTTCGGTGTCTTCGGTCTCGTCGTTGGTCATCTGGGCGGCATCCTGTTGCATGGCCTCCAGAACCAGCATGGCCTCGTCCTCCTCACTGCAGGAGTGCGATGACGAGTGCGCCGTCTGTTCCATCGAATTTCGATTTCGGTTCGGGGGTTTAGGGATTCAGTATCGGTATCGGTAACGGGGGGTTGGTACGGTTTTTGGAGTGGTTTGAAAATACAAACAAGGTTTAGCTTTCTTGCAGGCGGTAGGAGGGGGGTCTCTAATCAGACACTATTGCTTATTAATTTTAGCACAATCGGGCATGCACTTACGTATCTAGTTGTTTATCACAATATTATTATTACTAATTTAACATAACAAATGTATATGGTACATAACACAAACAACTGCGAATTAGGCATTCAGATACATGCGATACATACGAATGTCATGCTGTTTATCCACAATTTCAGTATGTAAATAATATTACAATTTGGCAAAATATTGACAAAATCAACCAAATATGCTTCGATGGTATTTTAATTAATTTACACAAATGGCAATAGAGTTGGGGGCCGGGCTGTATGAGTGTATGAATTTATCATTGCTGCCACGGGGCAAAAATTTCGCGCTGCACAATTTTAATTACATACAGTGAAAGGCAGAGGGAGAAATAACAACAAAAACAATAGCAATGACCAGAATCAACAATTCCGAATGCCAATACTAATGGTAATGGTAACAAAAGTCCGCCTGATTGCGCTCACCATGTCCGGCGGCCAAACAGCTGACCAGCGGAATCAAACCGCGTGCACAGGTGGGTTAAGGGGTTCCAGGGTGGGTTATGGGTACTCTGGGTGGGTTATAGACCCAGGGAGGGTTATAGGTGGGTTCCCCCCTTCCCATAAGCCCTACGGTCTCCTGCTGATTGCACAGTTGCCAGCGTTTTCCCCTGTTACTCTCTGGGTTAGTTAACTTGGCTTGCTCCCCCTTTAAATTCCCCCAGTTCAAGTTGTTGGTAAAACAACTAGTTTTCTCATTTGGAATTTGATTCATAAACTACTCAAAAAGCGCGTTTTTAAAGTTTGGAGTGGTTTCAAGAACTACTGCAGTATTTTATACATATATGTTTTAAGCTCTTCAAAACAATAATTGGAATAATATTTTTATAATTTGTTGTAATCAGTTGAACAGGTTTCTAGTTAAATTACTGGATTATTACTTTTTAAATTGCTTTGTACTGATTTTACTAGGGTTTTATAGGGAATTTATTTAAAATACCATAATAGTAAGTTATTATTTAACTATATAACTAAAAGGAATCCATAAAAAAATATAGTTCTGATACCTTCTTTTATCTTTAGCAAATTTAAATCTAAAAAAAAACTAAACTATTTTGTTTTCTAAGCATTACAAAAACCTTTTCCCCGAGTAATCCCCTCCATTTCCTACAACCTTAATCATTTAAAAATCTCTAATAAATAAAAGCACATCTTGATTTGCATTTAAGCCAGACATTAAGCCATTCAAGTGGCAGACATGTGCGGTAACTAATCGCATTGAATACAACTTGGCTCTGTCTCTCGATCTCAATACACTTAAAAGCTCATTCAATTTGGCCCAAGACACGTTCGCTTGTAGCACATTTGATGCCTTTATGATGGCAAGTTCCTTGCCAAAAGTCAACACACACACATACACAGACACTCAGGACTCAAAGATGGGGACCGGAAGTGGGGTAAGATGGCTGCCGGCCAGTGGCGGGATTCATTTGTAAATGAAATCAGAAAGGTGCACAAACACACTCGAAGCAGACTCCGGTAGTCGACGGCATACTTCACTCACTTAAGCTCAAGGCCTTTGTGTGTGCTGGCGGCTTATGCTTTTTGTAGCCAACTATGGCACAAGTTTGCCGAACACAAGTTTGTTTTGTATATATACAAATATACATACATATATCTGGTCCCGTCTGGGCCTGACAAGTTTGTTTGATTTTCTATTAATTAAAATTGCATTCAACTTGAAAATCGTATTTGTTGCCGTAAAAGAGAAGTTTATCTTTTATGCCTCTTGTGTGGGGGCCAGAGGCACGCCCATTTCCATTCAATAATGAACTTTGAATTGTAGCCTAATGGAAACACGTACAAGATTGCATAAACAAACTTGGCGAGCGTTAGTCGAACCCAGAGAGGAATTTAATTAATTTTCTTCGCCCTCCGCTTATGGGCGTGCCCCTTGTTTCGCCGCTATATTTGTATCTGTGTGTGTGTTAATTGGGCAAACACGCCCATGGCTAACACACACACACACACGCTAATGCATCAAATTGTCTGGCATAAATGTGGCCCAGTGTCAAACGCCCCGTTGATTAACACGCGGGTTCAAGGCAAAAAGGACAGGCATCCAATGTCAGGGACCTCGTCGAGTGACTGTCACCATCAAGGATAATTATTACCCTGCAACCTAACCACCACCATGCGATCTGTTTAGTTATCTCCGTTTTATTTTCAACAGACAATGCTTTTTTCCACCCCATTTTCCATACCACACCATTTCCCCACTCTGTCCCTCCCCACCCCGATATGCATAAAACATTTTAAATAAAAATGCATAAAAATATGGCGGAAAAGCGACATATGCCGCCCGCAGGTCAAAAGACAAAGGGGCGTTTAGAGTCGTGAAAAAAAGGACGAGAACGGGCGTGGTTGGGCCGCCGCCCCCTTCCACTCTAGTCTAGTACTTTTCAATTGTCGACATGATGAATAATTAAATCATACACGGATGCAGCGCAAATAAAAGAGTATTTGTTTAAAGTTCACCCTTTGTTAACCGCTTTTTACATTTTCCGCACTATTTGATGGCGGAAAAATGTGTTTTCTTTTTTTTGTTTATGCCAATAAATCAATTGGCAATTTCGCATTTTTTATGACCTTTGCTATATATTTTTTCCGAGTTATGGAATATTCTGCTGCGGTCATTGTTTACCCGGGGCATTGTTTTCTAAATTTAAAATTGCATGGTGTTGACCAAGGCTATCATAATATTATGGCAAGCCCTTAAACCTTTAATGCCAATTCAATGGGAAATTTGTTAATATGAAGGGGTTTTCAGCAATAAGCTGAATAATTCCTTAAATTGAAATGCTCTTTTGCGAATTTTCCAACAGCTTACTCAATGTATCCTGTGTTGCTGCCAATAAGTACATCGCTTAAAGCCCTATAAGTTTGTTGCCTTTATTGCTTACCAATTGTGTTAATCTAGCATTTGTTAGGATTTGACCAAGTGTGATGTGTGTGTGTGTGTTCCCCCCAGGCGACAATAATACAAAACAAACGGAAGGACAATGGATATAATAACAACTGCAGGCGTTTTACACGAGGACGAACCCTGTCACTGGACCTACTCGTCTGTGGGGGAGTCCTTGTCCGCCGCCGGGCAGTGCTAACCCTTGAAACAACACACAGAGCACAAATGGCAGCAGAGACAACAACAATCGAAACTTTTGCCACATTAAATCAGTAAATTTATTGACTTAACTGCTTTTTGGGGGGCAACCGAAGACATGCCACACCCAAGGACCTCCCTCCCACAGTTTGAGGGGTTGTCAGCATTGGCGTTTGTCTCTTGCCCGCTGGCTGCGCACTTTGCCACTTTGGCCTGGCCAAGATGGTGTCCCCGATCCCATATTCCCATGCACTCGGAGAAAATGGTTAAATTTCAAGTTGCGGTTTGTTAGTGAGAGCTTAAAGGCTTTATTAAGGTTAACAGATACCCAAGGTAAACTAGAGATTTGCGTCAATTGATTGTAAAGTATATATAAAATTTGTAAATAATTTTTCAATATCGTAAACTCATATATTCTCTGAGAAAATAGTTAACAACTGAATGAACTAGAGAATCTCTAAGACTTTCTCTTTTTTTGAGTGTAACTATTGCCTGTCCCAGGATGCCGTGTTCGGCATGTTCCTTCGGCTTGCTCTGCGCCTTGCCCCCTTGCTGTGCTGTCATAATTTTTGATTTGCTTGTTTTATTTGATGTCCTTGCTGATGTCGTTGCTTTTGGTGCCATTTCTGCTAAAGTTGTTGCCGTAGCCGAAGCCGAGGCTGTCGTCCTTGTCGTTGTCTTGGCCCTCGCTCCTCGCTAAGCTGCTTCCCGGCTTAGGAAAAACAATTTTGCAAAATTTATTTTATAGCAAAATTATGCCAAACATTTCGAAAATGTTTCTATGTACTCTCTGGCTGGCTCCCGGGGCCATTTGGGCCACTCACACACATGCGTGTGGTGTAAGTATTTTCGCACAAAAACACACACACACGCACACATGTGTGTGTGACCCGGGATGGAAGCTGGCACAGAATTTATTTTAGAATTGTAAGTATTTGTGCTTTGGTAGCGGCGAAATTCGTGCCATCAACTTTAGTTGAAATTATTTGCTTGGGCTGCCCTAGAGGAGGGACGAGGTCCTTGTCCACATCCTCGTCCTGATCCTGGTCCTGTCTGTTATATAAACTTGGATAATGTAGCGCAAATAGTTGCTTATTATTTATTCTCTTTTATTGCCGCCCCCATCACTGCTCGCTAGCCTTATGCCTTTGTCTTGAACTGGGTCTTTATGGCCTTTTATTTTTGGGTAATTTATTTGCGCTCCAAACAGAAATTAGTTGGAATATTTCAGTTGTTAATTAGGCATGCGTGAAATTGGGCAAACTTTTGCACTCGAGAACTCTAGCATAGCATACTTTTGAGTTTTGGCAAAGTTCTGGGATATGGGAATATGTTTATTGCCAAAGATTCGTTCAACTATTCCATGGGAATCCATGCTAGAGAGACTTCCTTGAGTGGCTTTTCCACGCCTTAAATTTTAGTTAATTAAATTTCCCAGTAACCCGCAACAGAGATAGCGGCAACTTTACGTTCGTCTGTGCAGACCGAGACGTAGCCTTTTGATAAGCCAAAAAATAAAACACACACTCAGAAGACCTCTTGAGAGGGAGTGTGTGAGATAAGGATTTTGGATTGTATGAGGACACATGACAGTGGCTGACAGTGCTTTTAGTTTGTCCTTTTTTCTCAAGATAGGTTTTATTTAAGAGTTAATTTAGAGAGTAAAAATTTTGACTTGTTTTAGATATTTTAAAAATCAAGATGAACATCTTTCTAAGAAGACTTACAGCTGACTTAATATTTGAAACATATTTATGGACTTTATATAAAGACTATTAAAGTTTCGAAGATAATAATATCATAAGTAATTCATAAGTAAAAACTAAATTTTTATTTATGTTTTAAATATGTTCCCTTTGCAATTTTTCTGTACCATTTCATATAAAATTTCCTCTATTCATCACTGTTGACCCACTCCCTTCCCCTTGCTTACAATAAGACTTACCAAATAATCAACATAAAAGCTTTAGTTACTTATTACAAGGCAAACACATACTTATACATTACATATCTTTAGAAATACAAACAACTGAAAAATAAAACAGATAAAAAGAAAAACGAGTAGGAAAATTAAGTATACGGCATGCAGGACGCGAAACCGTTCGCTTTGTGTGCACAGTGAGCTAAGTGCTTGGCTCTGCTGCGGCGATAGTGATATGTACGTGAAATACGGATTCAATTAAGGAGCGAACACAGGAGCAACATACAGGTACTGGTAGCAGACATGCGGGCACACAGAAAACACAATGGGAAAACAAGTTGCAGATAGAAAGAACCAAGGAGACGGGGGACACAGCCACATCAAAATCAACATCAACATCGACATCAACTAGAGACATCGCTGGGACCCAGCGAGACATCGAGACATGGAGGACACCGACATTGAGACATGCGACAGGTTTTCACCTCACATGCGGACCGCGGGTCGTACTCACAGTTTGCTGCACCGCGTTGACACTCGACGTGGACGCATTCTGGCCATGCTGCAGATACACTAATGGACCGCCCGACTGACGCGGCTGCTGGACAATGGGCGCGGGCGCCGATCCCGAGGCGGACGTGGACGAAGATGGCGCGGCGGCTCCTTTGTCGAACTGATAGTACATGACATCGTTGGCGGGCGCCGTGCCGCCATATAGCGGTGCTGGCGGTGGCGGCGGATCAGCGGTCTGGGAGCCAGAGATGTGATAGGCCGTGGGATGCTTAGGGGAACCCGTTCCCGAGCCAAGACCCCCTCCTCCGCTGCCCGGCATCTGGGGCATCTTGTAGTTGTAGATGTACGGTCGCTCGTACTCCCCGCCATGGATGTAGGACAGAAAGAGATCCGACTTGGCGGGTTGCATGGCACCTGCCCCGCCCATTCGCTGACGATTGTAGCCCACTCCCGAGACACTGCTGCTGGCATAGTGCAACGGATAGCAGCCGGCATTGGCCAGCTGGGCATTGCCACCGCCCGAGAGCAACTGCGTCTTGGTCACACTCTGGCCAGAGAGCCGCCGCGTTGGCACCCCGATATCCGACTTGGCGTCGCGCCTCTTGACCCCCGCCACCTGGGTGGAGGGACCCTGGTAGTAGTAGGGCGACGCCGGATTGCTGGGCCATTCCACGAAGCTGCGTTGACGACTGAAAGCACCACCACCTGTTCCGGGAGCTGTACCACCACCACCCGTTGTTACCATGTTCCCGGTGAGATTGCTGCTGCTGCCGCCGGCTCCACCCATCACGCCCTTCGAGCTCCTGGCCAGGGCGTTGTTCAGACTGAACTTGTACTGGTTGTTCTCGAAGGTTGTGTAGGCGAGCAGGCGGGGATTAGTAGCGCTAGTGTTGGGGTTGGGACTGGCGTTGGCACTGGGGGGATTGTGCACGGGCGCCAGGCCCGCGGGGTTAGTGGACGTGGACGTGGATGGCGAGGAGGTGGCGTATTTATAGTGGCTCTTCTGTTGCTGCTGCTGCTGCTGGCGCTGCTGCTGCTGCTGGGCGAACAGCGAGCGCTGCTGCTGCTGCTGCTGGTTACTCACGGTCTGCTGCATGAGGCTGTTGTAGCCACCGCCGTTTCCGTTTCCGTTGCCGCTTCCGTTACCGCCTCCGCCGCTGCCCACTGACTTGCGGTGCGATCCGCTGGAGGCGCCCGATGATTTGTTAGTGCCATAGCGGGTGCTGTCACTGGATCTGTGAGGACGAGTAATGTAAACAAAAGTAGGAGAAATTAATTTAAAAATATAAATGAAAAACTGTAATGGTATATCAACTTCGTCATCCCAAAGTTATTTTCCTTTTTGTTTTTATATAAAAATATAGTTTGAACTTACCTTTCCGAGGAGTAAGCATAATCCTGATCGGCCCCCAGACCAGAGTCTGTGTGCTCATGGGAAACTCTCAAGGCGGAATTTTCCAGAGGGCTCAGGTTGGAGCCAGTGGGTGAGATAAAGTCACCCATGCTCATGCTGGACATCATTCTACAAGGAAGAATTTCTCTACTGTAAATAACTTTAAAAATTACCTTCTTCCATATTTATTTACCTAACTAAACCATTATTCCGTTCACACTCCCTGGATGATATTGTGCTGGCAGATCGTATAGAGCCATTTTTGGGAGCATGACCTCCATTGCTTGTGCCTCCTCCATTGCCTTCGTGGGGATGCGAGCTTTGATAGTAAAGTCTAATATTATGCGAACAAGAAATAATATTTCGAGGCTTAATAAGCTGCTTACATTATAATTATCATTATAAGCTTTTAAGCAATAATATTTAGTTTTAATAACAATATAAAAAGAGAAGCTTACCCTCTAATCCGATCCACACGATTCCTAGCCTGTCCCGTATTTCCAGAGCCACTGCCATTGGTGATGGTATTTCCGGAGCCCGTGCTCTTGGCCCCCACACTGCTCTTGCTGTTGCTCTTGTGGATCTTCAGGTTGGAGTTGGAACGCTTCGAGGTGGTCTCTACGACCGTGTACGGAATCTCTCTCAGCTGCTGCTCCGACATGCCCTCGGTGTCCACCAAATCGAATTGCAGATGCTTGGCCAGCTCACTGTTCCACATGCGACTGCGAGACTCCGATGGGGATCTGTTTGAATTTGATTATTTACAGAGTTAAATTATAGTTTATATTATAGTTTATTTAATATAGGTTTAATATATTGATAATTTTTAAGAATTCCTTCGAAACTCACTTATTCTTGCGATGCCTTCGCGACTTGTGATGCGAGTGCGTGTCCGAGTGGCTATCGTTGCTGTGCAGGCTTCGGGCCACCATGCTGCTCTTGGACACTGCCGCCTGCTGGACAGAGCTCTGGCCCAAACTGGCCTCCGCCTGGCGACGTTGCACTTCCCGCCACTGGGATGTGGAATCAATGAGCTCGGCACTGCCGCTGCGCATCGAGGAGCTGCGGTGGCCGGAGTAACTGCGTCCCCGGGTACTGTCATGGTCGGATCCTCCAGCGGAGTCACGTCGATGCCTATTCGATCGACGATGTTTGCGATGATGCGAACGTCCTGATCTGCCCGAGCGACCTGATCCCCTGGAGAGTTCACTTTCATTGTCTGAGGTGCGACGATGACGGTGCTTGTGTCTTAGAAATTAAAGAGGAAATATCAAAATAAGTTCCAAGAATAATCAGTAATTATTGGTAAATATTAAATTATATAAATTTACTGGAATATAATTGCTACGCTAAATAACCTTGAGAATTCCCAAGAACAAATATGTTTTCTGATAAGAATTTAGATATATGAAAAGTATTTTAATATGTCTTAATATTTGACATCTTGACATTCTTTGTTATCTTATATCGTTTCAGATAACACAAATATGCAAATTTTGATGGCACTCTGGGAAATTTCGACATTTATCACAAACACTCAAGATATTTACTGATAAGATATATGACTCAATTTGATACGCAGTTAAATTGTGAAATTTTAAATTGTTAAAAAATGGAATTTCCACCGATAAGATAATTTTCAAAAATTAAATCAATAAACACTCTCTTTAAACTCTTCATTTAAAAGAGGATGTAGAATTAATAGGGTTTATTAGGTCTTAAAGAATCACATCTAGTAGACAATTTGACTTTATCTTAACCTTCACAAGGCCACATATCAAAACTATTTAACAGTTGATGGGAATGCTTTTTTATAAATTCTTTAATTCAGAACTTTTGATAAAAGGGCACACGCGTAATTTTTATCAACTTGTTATGACTTTCCGGTATTAACAAGATAGTTAACGTATTGGACTTTAATCGGAGTTTGACCCTCTAATGTAAGTAGTGAATATCAATAAAAAGAATACTTTGGTTAAATATTTACTAAGTATTTAATTCCTATTTAATTTAGTTAGCTGTGTAATATCTTAAAGAGGAATTTGAATTGCTGCTATCCTTAATTATTTTTCTTAAGTAAATATCTATTACAAATTCATTTATTATGATTCCTAAGAACCTTTTGGAACTATTGTTAAGGATAACTCCTCTTATTAAGGAATATACTAAAATTTCTTTTTTTTTGTTTCTTTAGTAAAACAAAAATATTTCTCTAAACTCACCTTCTCGTCGATCTGGAGTCATTGGAGGAGTGACTCTCCACGGAGCTGGATCGATACCGCTGCTGTTGGTGCGACGCGGACGAGGAGCTGGCCCTCTGCTGGCGGTGATGGTGCGACGAGGAGCCATTGGCCGCCGCCGAGGAGGAGGACTGATGATGATGCTGGTGCGGATGGTGGCTAGTGCCATGGCCATGGCTGTGGTGACTGTGGTGATGATGCAGCCCACCGCCCGCCGTGCTGACCGATCTCACGGAGCGCGGACTCGACGGGTTGTGGCCGAAGAGGGAACGCTGCTGGGATCGTGGCCAGGGGGCGCTCCTTGTGCTCCTGGGTGAGTCGGGGGTCTGGAGGTTGCTTCCGCTGTTGTTGTTGTAGCTGCTGGAGTTGTTGTTCTGTTGCTGCTGTTGCTGCTGCTGGTGGCAGGGCCGGATTCCCAGGCTGGTGGGAATGCTGTAGGTGGAGCGGTAGGGGCTATCGTAGTTGCTAGAGACAGATAGATAGAGAGAGAGGGAGAGGGAGATCAGCGAATCAGTCTCGCATTATTTTGCCATAAATTTAAATTGTTTAACATAAACGTTGATTAAAGTCCGCGGCATCGGAGGCCATTTAGGCTGTCCGAGGCGGAGCGGAGCGATCCCAGATCGACACAGACAAATAATGCGCGTGTGTAAAATTGAGTAATTGCCGCACTGGCAATCAGCGGGCAATCATTTCGTACTCTCAGGAGTCGTCGCTCCAGCTCTGAGTCTCTTCTCTGTCCAGCTCCGACTCCACATCCAGAACGTGCCCAGGCGTGCCTAGTGATTTATGCTCCCGCTCGTCCGATCGCGCCTGGGATGATGCTGATGCTGATGCTGATGCTGATGTTGCTGCTGCTGCTGCTGTGATCTGTGATCTGTGAATCTGGAGATCTGGAAGCTGCGGTGTGGGGGCCGCTTGATTGGCCTGTCCGGCTGCCTGATGTTTGGGCTGGCTTCTCTTTGTTTGCAAATGATAAATGACGCGGGCTATTTGCTCATCCCGATCCCGATCCCGATCCCGATCCTGTACCAGATCGCCATCCGCCTAGAAATCCAGCGATTACGCGGGATTGGCTGTGGCTTCTATTACCTTATTTAGAGCCTTGCCTGAGCGTGTAATTTATGCACGGATGGTGGGCAACACTTACACCGACAGCCATCAGCTTGGAAATTGTCCCTGGTAATTGTCTAATTCGAGTGTGTTTCTTAGGTTTGTCTCTCAGGCAACTTACACCCAAGGAGTTTGGAACAAGAAGCTATAAAAACCATTGCATGACTCAGTTTCTCCCAAAAAGAAAAATTTTATCCTGGCATTTCCACAACATTTCGGCATTTCCGCCGCCCAACAACTAATGGCTAGCTTTTTATTTGTCTATATAATTTGATGTTCGCAACCATAAAACATTTAATAAATGTTGCGTCTAGACAATGTAACTGCCTTCGAAATGGCAACTAAATGGATTTTGAACACGAATTCGAAACAGCAAGCCCGAGGGCACTTGAGTCAGGACAATGACAGCCAAGAAGGAGCTGCTATCCTATCGTCCTGTCAAACGCAAACGGACCGGATCGCCCAGGCACTGGCACTGGCACTGGGAATGATGAAGTGCTACGGACTGCATTCCTTTCAAATTGAACCCGGCGATTCAAATACAAATAGCAATAGCATCCCAAAAAATATGTTTGAAAATTAAAAACAGATCAAAGGGAAGCCCTTCAACGAGCCACATGAGAGCTCTTCCGGCGCGCCAGCTCCCAAAAATGATTACTAAAAAGCAACTGGCGGACATACTGAAGCGAAAAAAAAGGAGAAAGTGGCCCCAAAAAGGACAACTACGTCAAAGGAAGCAGCTGCCGTATATATAAATGGGTGAAGCATAGGAAAAAAAAGGAGGAAATGAGAAAGTTGAGTTTAAAAAACTGAGGATTGTATACTCTTTATACTATTGAAATTAGTGGTGTACCTAAAATTAACTTAGTATCTTAGATTCCTCAAGGGATTACAATGCATTTACTTTTAAAGTTGGTTAAAATAATATTATTAAAATTGTATTTTTTATTTTAATAAGAATTTGTCTGATATTATTTTTGATAGCAGTGAATTATTAAAGATAAATCCTACATCAGTCAGAAGCATGAAATGTAGTGAAGGAGACATTTCCGATCCTATAAATCATATATATTATTGATCATATATATCAATAGCCCAATTCATCTAGCCATGTCCGATGGAAAAATACATTTTCAAAATTTTTTTTTTAAAATTGCAAAATTTTTTAAATTAAAATTGTAAAATTTTGATCAAAAATTGAAGTATTTAAATTTAAAAACTGAGAATGCAGATTTGTTAACCGTACAAAAACTAGCAGAGAAACGATTTCCGAATTGAATTTAATGCATTTTTGGCTTAGGTCTGATATTTTAAAAACTATGGTTTACCCCAAAAATTTAGCATATTTAGGATTTACTTGAAGCCAATGATTGCCATGATTTCAATTTGCAAATAAAATCTTCACAATAAAGAATAAACTCCATATATATTTAAACCATTGAGGTGTTTTTCTTACCATAAAATAAACCCATATAAATTATACAAGTAAGCCCCCTAAAAATGGCTTACTTCCATGTAGAAAAAGAAACATACCCAAGATCTCCTAGGGTATAAAAGCAATGGAGGCTTCTATGCTTTTGTACACACATGGGCGGCGGATGGGTAAATCAAAACTTTTGTGCACGGAATGAAAACAAATGATGGGCATTTGGAGTACTCACTTGGAGATGGTGCCCAGTCCGGGCTGGGGCAGCGGCCTGTTGCCCATGTGGATGCCTCCTCCACCTGCTGCTCCTCCGTTGGCGGTTCCGCCGCCGACATTCCCATTCCCGTTCCCGTTCCCGTTCCCAATCCCGATTCCGTTGCCGTTGCTGTTAAAAAAGTCATCAATCACGCGCCTGGGCTGGCGCTTGGAGGGCGTGCGGGTGAAGGCGGGCGGAGAGCGTCCGGCGGCCAGTGCATCCTTCTCCGTGGACTTGTCCGGACGACTGGGGGTCGGGTGGCGGGTGGCGGGGTTTTTGGCAGACACATGCGAGTGGGCAACATAAAAGTAGGCATAAAGGCGTCCAAAAATATTAACAACCAAAGTGGGGAAATGTGGAAAAGAAAAATATAAAAAAATACAAGAAAAACCAAAAAGAAAAACAAGGAGAGGAAAACGAACAGCCAGAAAGATGGAATCATAGAAGACGCTAGGCTAATAATGAACAGTGAACCATAAAAAGGTTGTAAAACACAGCCGGAATAAAATAAAAACCGGGCAAACTTTCATTTGTTTCACAAATTAAAAACGTTCCCTGAACTTGGGCTGCCGGTCATAAAATGAGCCGACGTCCCTAAAAAACTTTTATTTTTTTTTTCGACCGAGCAGCAGGAATAGAAATGCTTCCCCCTCTAGGCCAAGCTAATAGTTTCACTGAGTTACGGTTGGCCACGTGAACTCCATTTGGCCAGCAAGCTGGGAGCAAGAAAGTTTACCGCAGCAAACTAAATGGTCAGCCGCAGTCACCGCAAATGTCAGTCATAAACATGGAGCAGCAGGAGCACCAGGAGCAACGGGAGGAGCTATCTCCTGCCCGTCCTTGTCCTCATCCTGATCCCCAATCCTCCTGCCACATTCGTCATGCACAATTGCCTGCATTTGGTGGGCCTGCTCCAGCTTAGAGCCGCATTTCGCAGAAAGTCATTAGTGGGCTTTGCACTCGAGTTGCTTTTTGGCCGACTGCCCGCAGGCCTTCAGGCCTGCCAGACTCAGTCCGGATCCCCACCCAACACTTCCTCATGTTTCCAGCCTGCAGATCCGACATTTTTATTGGACTTCCAATTAGTTGGCCATGCAGGCGATGGCGTAAACTTGATCTATGCCCGCTGGATGGATTCACGATGCACTTGGGCCCGGGATTGAGATTTGAGTTTGGGGGACTGCTTCTGTTTGGCCAGAGAGATGGCATCTAATTGGATCTGCGGGAAACTCGAGAAGCTGACATGCGAACTTGGTTTTGCTTTGGGGTTGATTAAGTCCTGAATTATGTGAAATTAAAGACATTTATGGACTGTTTCACTAACTTTACATAGCCTTGGCTTGATTTAAAAGCAACGTTTTATGGAGTTTAATTACTTGAGTTACTAATTTGATTTAAATTTATTTAATGTATTTATTTTTATTGAATGGTAATTGAGCTGTTATGTTGTAAGTTCCCTAGTTACCTATCTCATTATTATTAATTAATTTTATATTAAAGAGTAATATCTGTTCGTCACTTTAATTAGTGAGTGAAAGACCCCAGCAACTGCCGCATGTATCCCCTTCCTGAGAACCTGCTCTTTTGGCCCTTGGCCAGCCCTAATCCTTATCCTTCGGCCACGAAAGCCACTTGAGCTGCCCCTTAATGAGCTAATCACATGAGGTGCATTTTGGGGCAAGAGGGATTGAACTCGAGTGACCGCCCATTGAAATTCGTTACGTCTTAATTGGCTGCGCTTTCGGGCTTGGCTTGGCCAGTAAATGAGGCGGCCAAGAGTGGTCCCGGCCCAAAGTGTAGGAAGTTATGCTTTTTTTTTTGGGATTTTACAACTTCATATGCTGGGCGGGGCACACGACTGCACCCACAGCATATGACTTCCGGCAGTGGTCATGCCAGGCTACACTTGAAGAATTGATTTTAAATTCTCAGCTATTATTAAAGAATTTCTCAAGTATGTTGATAAAGTATTCTATTCATTTTTACAAATTTGAAACATAAAATTCATTACTTAAGATCTTTAAAAACTTCTTGAAAGTGTGTATATTTATTTGGTAATTTTCCTTGACTGAACTTACCTGTGCCTGAAGCGCGATCCCAGCTGGAACAGATCGGTGGCATGCGACTGGGAGCTGGGCAAAGGTGCCACTCGCACCTGCCTGAAGAACGCATGGTGCTCCACGCAGCAGCGCCACAGGTGCTTGCAGGCGGACTTGCGAGGCGTCTCGAATCCGTAGGTGCTGAGTTCGTTCTGGAGGAGCAAGAGGACCGAGAGGATTTGTAATCGCAAATGGTTGATAAGAGCAAAAGTCAAGTCACGATGGCAGGGAATGGAAGGTGGGAACTGGTAACTTTGGACGGGATGCCGACAAAGGCTCGCCTCCTCTCTGCTTGCTCCAGAGGCAAATTGAGTGAATGAATGCCTCGGTAGAAGTTGGCTTACAAAGTGTAAAGTGTTGCCAAAAAAAAAAAAAAGAACAGGAAGATAATGTCGAGGGAAAATCAAGTCGAAGGAAAACGTTAAAGTTTCGCCTTTTGTGTGCGTCAACTGGCTGGGAAACTTTTTTGATTATCAAAGCGTTAACACCCGAAAGTGTGCAAGTTTCAGCAGCAGGAGGGACTCCACTTCTATCTCCTATCAGGCACCAGCTAGGAGCTACCATAGCTACTTGTTGTCTAACGAGGCTCTAGCTCCAGCTCCAGCTCCTTCGACCTCCTCCGCTCCTCCTGGCGCCACTTGATGCCGCTGACAACCAAAAAGTTGTCACCATAAGGAGCGCACAAAAAAATTGGCGACACTGCAAAACGCGAGTAAGAAATTGAAAGCCCTTAAAAAATATTAGGAAAGCTGAAGAAGATGTGATACCCTAGGGATTGCTAGGGATCCTTTAAGGAAATATATTAATAAATTCCAAATTGAAAACTAAGGTTAATTTCTTTAGTAAATACTATTTCATGGACATAAGAAAGATCCTCTCCATAATATTTTAACTATATCCTTGTAAAAATTAATAGGTAATCCCGATTCGACTTTTCCTTTAGCCCTACTACCCTTTTTACAGCCAACTTTCGACCATTCACTCGCGGAACGAACTGCAAATTGTAAAAAGCACTTGTCGGCAAACAAATTTATGGCTGGGACGAAGGATCTGAATGTGGATCTGGAGCCACATCGTCACAGTGGCCATTGTCGTTACGCGTTCCCAGTTGCCGGTTACCAGTTACCAGCTCCACAGCTTCCATTGTCGCTTGGTGCGTTTGAGAATTTACATTTTTATCGCTTATCCTGAGCATAAAATAGCGTCCTTTATAATAAACTTTGGCAATGCGCGGCCAATAGTAATGAGCCACCGTCGTCTTGTTGCGCAGGACGACAATCCCGCTAGGAGTCAGGCCCAGGAAGTACTCCACGCTGTCCTCGCCCTGCGGGAGAAATAGAGAACGGGAGAAATGGGAATGAGAATGCTGCGAAAACTTTGGCAAACAAAAGGCGGCGGCGGGCAGGCGAAAAAGTTTCCTTTCTGGCCATTGCCAAAAAATGTGTTAACAAGGAAGAAAGTTTTCGGCCATTAGCAGCAGGCGGCATTTTTATGGCTACCTCGTTCCAACTAACACACGGCCCAGAAGAAAATGCCGAAAGCCAAGCCGAAATAAATGTAATTTTAGCTGTTAATTAAATTAAAAAACAAAGAAAAGCGGAAGAGCCGGGAAAGCATATAAAAGACGGCGTTGGCGCCGCGATACTCAGTGATTTGTGTCTATAACAAACACAAGGGCGGCAACGCGTCAGTGAAAAGGGGGTGAAAGGCTACATCATGCCACATACCGCAGCCATGTGGAGTTGGGGTTCAGTTTGAGGTTGGGGTTGGGGTTGGGGTTCGGGTTCCACACACACAGTTCGTATACAAACACAGCTGGTGATTTATTGAGGTTTGATATCAAAGTAAAGGGCAATAAAAAATGCAAATGAAGTGCCAACTTACGCAGCACAAAACCATAGACGAAGGGGTGTTCTGAGACACCCCAGTCTGGGGGGTTTTTTGGGGGTAATCATACACTGACCTGATCCCCCCCACTTCTCTCGGGGAGAGCAAATGATTTATAATATTTGCCATGAAATGAAATTAAACTTTGCATTTCCCTCTGACCCCTTTTATGCGGCTGACTGAATGTCGAAGCCGGGTCGTTCTGTCTGGTGAACCATCCCAACCCGTGGTGTGGTTTTGGGAACTTTGGGTCATGTGTGGATGCCACATTGGCTTATAACTCACCAGAACGGGATGCAAATCGACGCCGTACATGTCGTGCCATTTGACTTTGTCCAGATAGTTTAGCTCAGCGCTCGAGGGCGACATTCCCTTGAGTTGCTGATGCAGCTCCGAGACGCGGGTCTCCAGCTCGTTGCTCTGGTTTGGAAGCAGCCGGAACTCGGACACATAGCCCTTCGAGTGGCGTCGCTGATCATAGTCACCCAGTTCGGCTAGGGAAGGGATAAAGTAAATAGGTTAATTGTTTATTTAAACTCTTAAGATTGTCAGAATAACATTACGAAAGTACAGCATTGATATAAGGGAGTTTGTGTCACAGAATTATTATTATTATGTTTTGTAAAGAATTTAACCATGAATGGTTAAGAATGAAAAGATAAATCTAATATGTTGACAAATATATAGTGGTCAATATCATATTGAAAAAATCCTAAATATTTTCATTCATTTCTAGTAAACTCTTTAAAAAGTCTATGTAAAATGTGAACTAAAAATAGAAAATGTGCTCTAGTTTATCAACTTGATATTCTTCTCAACTGAAATATTTCCCAAAAATTCAAAGACCTTTCAATTAACCAAATAAATGTTTTCTCTGACACCCAAACTTGACATTCAATTTGTATTCGCTTCAAGGCAAAGTTTGTGTGATTTGTAAACTCTCTGGAATTTTATTACTCACATTGCACCACAAAGGCACCGAGCTCGGCGGCCAGCTCGAAGGCCACCGGCAATCGTCCTTGCAGAACGTCCTGTTTGACTTGGAGAAAAAGTTGATACCTGAAAACGACAAATTTCATTAGTCAACACACAGCATAAGACAGCACAACACTACACAACAGCCAACAGGACAGGAAGCAGTTAACAAGTTGGCAAACAAATCTGGGCATAAAATTAGTTGATCCCCCTTTTTGATGTTTGGCCAGGACAAACACAGGCTGGCGACTTGTTGACTCTGGGCGTAACATCGAAATCATGAAATGAAACAAATAAACGATGGACAGAGGAGTGGGTATGGTTATGGGCTTGGCATCATATTTCACAATTATATGCAGGCCCAACTTCAAGTTGATGGCTGTTTGCCTTAATCCTTTTTCGTTGCCAGTGTGTGTGTGTGTGTTTGAATATCACCGTCTGTCATCTGGCTGGAAAATCTCTCTACTTTCCCCCCATTGGGAATTTTCAACTTTGTCCTGTCCAAAGTCAATTGCCGTTTATTGTATGCCGCAGACTTTGTATAGCTAAAATAACACGATATTCTTTGGTCTTAGTGCACTTCCAATAATGCAGCTCCAATTGCATTGCCACGCCCCCTCTGATCCGGCACTCATTCGCCGCCCATTTCCACTTGGCTGCGAGTGCATTTCGATGCATTTATATGCGCTAATATTAGCGCAGTATCGGAAGGACACTCGGAGAAATCCTTTTTAAGCAATCTGAGTTTGATTTAGGCATTTAGTTTTAGATTGAACGGAATTTTTACATATGTTTTTTAAGCTTAAAAACTTTATAGTTGCCTTGAAAACCTAGATGATTCTAGGCTTCTATGAATCTAAGATAATTTCTAACACTTTGGTAATCATTGCAATTAGAGAGTAATCATTTCTCAGAGTGCAGCGAATTCCATGTCAGTTGGCATGGATTTTGATGATGTTTGGCCAACGGTTGGTCCAAATCCACTTCCACTTGCAGTGCCTCCGAGCCCAGCTCCAGCTCCATCGCCTGGCAATGATGATTATGGCGAACGTGTCGTCGTATAAAGCGCAAATATTTGCACACACCAAATGCTTGATAAATGCCACAATCGATGCCCCCCAGACACCATTGCATCGCATCATCGAGTCGAGAGAGAGAGAGAGCGATGACGTGACGATGCGATGGCTTTCAGGGCCATGGTCATAACCCATAGCCATTACCCCATACCAATTCCGCTTATTTCCCTTGACACGGCTAACACGGGGCATAAACGTTTACGTTCGGCGACATTTGGCATTGCATTTTCAATTTTTGCATTTCACATTTCGCACACCAAACTACCTTCGGTGTGTGTGCTGGCCTTTGGCAATGGTGGGTTTTTTATGTGCGCCATTTTAATTCATTTTGCTTGATGTGCGGGCATAAATGCATTAATTGCCCGATGCATTATCCATTAGTTGAGTGGGCAGCCCGAGTTCATGGGTTCAGAGTCCTCAACTCGTGCGTCTCGTTTCGCTTCATTTGTTGTTTATTGCATTATAATTATGCGTCTGTGTGTATGCTTCAATTAACAAATTAAATTTGCCAAATTCAATTTATGGGAAGGCCAAAAGTTGGTCTCTGGCAAATTAAATCATTAATATGATAAATGTAACAGTTTCAATTGGGAGGAACATTAAATTAATCAATGATAGCTTAAACGAATACGACAGGATATATATTTTTAATAGATGCTCACCTGGTTATTTCCTCCAGCAGCTTGCAAGGATCAGCAGCATAGAACTTAACGCCAAAGTACAAGTCATAAGGATCCGATTTTGGCTTCAATTGTCGGGATATCCGTGAGGCAGGATCCAGCCAATGCTGTTTGGATAAAATGAGGGAAAAAATAAAGCTATAATCGAGATAAAAACAGGTGAGAGGACTTGCCTCAACACACTAAAGCCTGAGTGAATTTCAATGAAGGACACACACTACCCAGCCGGGGCCAATGAAAGCGAAATCATTATGCAATTTGCCCCGCAGGCAAGGAGACTCAAAGAGTTCCTGCAGTTTGCTTTATTTTTTTTCCTTGTTTCAGTTTTCAGAGCTCGACGATGCGCCTGAATGGATCTCAATGAAAACGAAAATGAATTTCAAAAACCAATATGTTGGCCCGAAGGATGCAGGGGACTGGGAACTGGGACCTGAAAGGAGCTGTGCCTGGACACACTTACCGTCTGGTTCTCCTCGTCTATGTAGCGTATGCCGAAGTATGAGGTCTCGATTAAATTGAGCCTGGCAAAAACGACATCCAGCAGAGCCTGGCCCGGCAAATCATCCTGAAAATAGACAAGAAAATTGCTGTTAAAACAGAGCAGGCCCAAGAGTAAGGTAAGAGTGAGATAGTCAGGAGGTAAAGGCTGGAGGGAAAAGCAGGAAAAACGCTGTGCAAAGGCAAACACTGGAAACACTGGCAAACTGTTGAGCCATTGAATGGCCACAGACACGGTCTCTCCTTCGATGTCCTGCCGTCCCCTTTTTCCATCCGCTCGGCTTGCTCCGCCGACAAAAGTGAAAACTTGCCAGTGACAATTATTCAATTGGAAAATTGCTGCCTTTTTGCCTCCGCACACGCTTTTGCAGTACTCTAGATAAAATAAAATGGGAAAATGGAAAAGCGAACAAATAAAATGGGCAAAATGGCCGGCCGAGCAAATAAGGAGAAGGCCAAACAATTTATGGCCAAATCGAAGGCGGCCCAAGTCGGGCAATCAACAATTTTCCATTGGTTTAATTTAATTTGTTAAAGCTTTAAAATGCCAATTCCCCTATTTCTCACCCTCTGTGCGTCCGTTCGACTGTCTGTCTAGTGGCAATAATAAATTGAGTTTATTCTCCGGGGAGAGCTCCAGATCCTGCGGACCCCGAAAAAAAAGGTGGCCGCAGCTGCAGGAACCGCAAAAAGCACCCAAACTATGGCCAGGGGCGTGCTATTGTTAACCGCAAAGGCAGCTCCAACCACGACCACCCATCCCCGCCAGCGGATGGATTCTCCTGCTCCATCACCAGTGCCAGCTCCAGGTCCAGCTCCAGCTCCAGCTTGTGCTCCATCACCATTGTCTGCAGTGTGTCTCTCATGTGGAGCAGCTGGCGCTTGTGGCCCTTTTGTTTTTGTTGTGACTGCTTCTTTTCCTTTTTATTTTTTTGGCACTGACCAACAGCAGACACTGACTTTTGCCTTTTGTTGCTGGTGTTGCCGTGTTCGACCCGCTGCCATGTTTTATTTATGGTATTTCAGCTCGGTCGAAGGATCCCTTTGGGGGCCACATCCACATCCTGGCACATCCTGCACACGGCATTTCCCTTTTGCATGCATTGGCCCGCTTTATTGTTGTTGCGTAATAAACTTAATGGCTGGCAAGTGTGAACACACTGGGATTCAGAATTCGGGACACGGGATTCGGAACTCACAACTGGCAGTTCCTTCGGTAACTTCGAACCGAACTCGTTTTGAATTTATGTTAAATATATTTTGCTGACCTCAGGGCTTGCGGCTGAAATCGAGCTGCTTAAGTTGCCATTTGGGAATTACAAGTGCCAGAAAAGTGGAGTCAAGTTGGGGATGGTATATCGATACATAATATTTCGATATTTTTAAATGGGAATAGAAAATGTTTCATAGTTGAAGTTGTTTATATGTCTCTTATTAATTCGATATTTCTAATATATTATAGAATTATTGCACTACAAAAACCTATCATTAAAGCAAAGTGAACTTATTTAAAATAACATATTTATCCATATATTTCCATTGATAATTACAACCCAAAATATATTAAACAAAGATAATTTTTGATGCATTTTGATATCTTTTCGATTCATTTGTGAGGTATATTTGTCATTTGTTCCCATCTCTAACTCTACCCAAAATATATATAGTGGCCAAACACGATAATCTCTTTATGACAACTCAAACCCAAACGCAAAGGTGGGTGGGTGGATTTTTGCATGAACTTCAGGGACCATCGAGGGAACTGTTGTGTGTGCGTGTGTGTCAAAAACTAATTGCATTTGTGCTGACTGCATTAGATGACAGTCGTTAACAAGGACGAAGTGACAGACTGACACTGACGTCGACGTCGACAGTGGCTAAGTGAACGTGCAGCTGCATTTTACAGTCCTGTTGTCCTGCCATCCTTGCCTTGCCATCCATGCTGCTCCTCAAATTGCATTACAAATACGTGAACATGGGCAAGGACATTAATACAATGGTCTGTGAAATTTCCAACACAAGACATGTCCTTATTGTTGTCACCGGTTTTTGTTTCGCTTCGTCCTTTCTCTGAAGCTGTTGTGTGTTTGCCGGTTTTGCTCCTCCACTTTTACTCCTGCTGTCAATGCTTTTACCATAAAACACAAGTAGGAAAGTGCATTTTAAAAATGCATAAGAACCATGAGCGTTCATCATATTGTCGGTGGCCGTTTACTGAGGTGGAGGGAGAGCAGGAGAGTCTAACAGGCGAAAGGAGCTAATAATGCATGTGCCAGTAAATGGAATTTCAGATGAGAGAGTGAGAGCAGAGTAAAATAATATACCTTAAAGTTGGCACACTTTAGTGAGCAGGAGCATCCTTATCGATCCTTCGGAAGGAAGCCATCCCTCTTCAAAATGGAATCCTGAAATCCCAAACTAATAGAGACGCCCAAATAAGTCTCGGTCCTAATGAACTACGCCCCGTGCATGTCTAAAGTCGTTCAACGACTAAATTATGGCTAAAAATCAACGTAAACATGTAAGGGACCGCAATAGCTGGCAATTAATCACCAAAACCCGGAAAAACTTGTGCAAACAAAAGTGTTCAAGTCCCAAAAGGTTTTCCACGTCCAGACAAGTATTTTTTGGAGGCCGAACTCATTTTCCTCTTTTGCCAATTTCTACCCTCAAGCACACACACAACTCACTCACTGACAGAGTTCAATAAATTAGATTTCCCTGAGTCGCAGTGTGCGGAACCAGTGACGTAGATGATGTCTGGGGCATCAAAGGATGATGTGGATGCGGATGCCGATGTCGATATAGCTCTTACTCTGGTCTGATCCTGATGCTGACAGCAGCGAAAGGAGACGACGCAGACTGGGCTGGGAGGAGGGGAGAAAAAAAATTAAGAACACGCCGGATGTGCCGGGCGATGATTATGTTGATGCTAACGATGATTAGGTCTTTGGCTAAAATGTCTTAATCAAATTATGCTTACTTTGATGTTGTTGCCAGGCCCCGCTGTCGCTGGCACTGGCACTGTTGCCAAAGGACATCGAATCCTGGCCAAGTACACTTAATGAGCTTACTCGCACCCCGCTCCTAGCCAAGATTGCCACCCGCCGCCTTACTTGTCAGCCGAGAAGAGGAAGTTTTTGCCATGCAACTTAATTAGAGAGCGCCAAGTGGTAAACCGGAAAATATAGCACACATGTCTGGCCAGCCATCCCACCTACCCCCTGCTGGCTTTTCTCTTTCAACCCTTGGGGGACACTTTTCGGAGGGAAAATCCCTGCATCGCGCTTTTGGCTAAAACGTAATCAGCGTCTTGACAAACTTTAACTACGTGACTAACCCAATTTCGGCCTATTGAGAGTGAAGAAATCTCCTGAAAGCCAGGCTTCAACATAATTAACACACGGTTTATGACCTCAAGGCGTTAGGGAATCTTAGGGGTATATGTTATAGATGAAATATAAATAAGATTAACTTGTAAAGTTAAACATGCTTACAGATTTCTATTATTTCAAGACATATAAAAACTGAAAGTTCCCCTATGTATGCTCCTTTAAAATAGACAAGCTTTTTGTATATATATTTTTTTTGTTTGTTTTTATATTTCAAGTCCAGGAACGATGGTCTGCTTTTTCTTACATAAGCTCATTTGTCGCTTTTTAAATGGAATGGCGGCTAAGAAGAAACGCCAGCTTATTGCCCTTGCAGTGAAATAAAGGCAAGACACTGCAGAAATGGAGAATAAAAAACAAATCCAAGTCGTTGGCAATGGGGGTCAGGTCAGATGGTGAAAATGATGCCCGGCATCTGCTCCCAAAAGGTTTTCCCCGTCCACGGGTCGTATACTTAATTCCCTGCATGAGTGTGTGTATGTGTGTGACTGTGACTGTGTGCCTGTGTATGTGTGCAGTCTCTCCAATTGCATTGTGCGTATAATTGCGATGCTTGGCTTAAGCGTGCGCTGACCTTTGACAACAAAAAACAACAGGCAGTGCACTCAGAAAAATGCATACGGAAAACCTGATTGTAAATGAGGAAATGAAGCTGATGTTACATTTTTAAGTCGTTTTTCACCTGATTTGTCCATGTTTTCATATCAGAATATTTTAAAGTAAGCGGAAAATAATATTTGTAGAATTTTTTTGTGGAAAATACAATGATTTTAGCTATTGTGTCAGGTTTTCTTTAACTAAATGTATTACTTTTGCTTTAAATTTTTTATTAATATTATTATACACATGGAATATATCTTAATTTTAGTCTGATCCTTATAACGATGTGAAGGAATCATTTCCGACCCTATAAATCATATATATTCTTGATTAGAATCAACAGCCAAATTGATCTAGCCATGTCCGGTCAAAAAATAATTTTGTGACATTTTGTCGAAAATTGAAAATTTTATAAGGGGTTACATCATTAAAATTTTAAAAATTTGACAAAAATTTTGATATCCTGAATTTTTAAGTTGAGTTTGCAGATTTATTACCTTGTAAAAACTAGCACAAAGACGCTTTCCGAATTGAATTTACTGCTTTTTTGACTGAGTTATGAGTTTTTTAAACTATGATTTTTGGAAGTTTTTATGCCTTTTCGCAGGTTTCATTTTACTTTAGTCAAAAAATAACAGTAGCATCAACAAACGCAGTATGTAAATTTATTAAAGCAATAAAAACTAGCACCGGAAAGCTTTCCGAATAAAAAATTAATGCATTTTTAGCCTAGTTATGCACTTTTTAAAACTTCGATTTGAGGAAAATTTGCCCTATTTTTTATATGCAAAAAAAAACTTATTTAGAGATGTTTTTAGCGTAATTATGATCGATTTACATTACGATCCTTTAGCTCAATTGCTAGCTGCGGTATGCTAAAGTAAGCTTATTTACTTGTTAATTTAATAATACCAATTTTCTGGCTTTTGTTTATAATTTTTCCAAGTGCAGAGTGCACAAAACAGCAGCGCAGCAACATTCGTTTGTGTTTATAACGGCATTATGAGTCTTAAGTTCAGGGCACGCCAAAAGCAGTAAGCAAAAAAAAAGAAAGATGCAAAAAGGAAAATAAATAAAAATAGAAGCTGGAAAAAAGCAAACAAACGGGGCTAAAACAAGAGAGAGAAATACATATACTTGGGGGGACTGGGAAAATGGGCTGAGATGAAGAAGGCCAGAGAGGGAAAGCACTCAGGCCGCGGTGCCTGCAATGTCACAGACAAAACGGCGACAAAATGAAAGAAAAGCAATGGCAGCAACATCGTGTCGTCGTTATGCACAAAACCAGCCAGAAGCAGCAGCAGCATCAGCATCAACATCAAGCATTGGGCCCGAAATGCTAAAGCAGATTTATGTCTCCCCCTCGGAAAATCCCCTCCTCCTCCTCCTCCTCTGGTGCTGCCTGCTCATCCCATATTGGCGCATCTTCACCTAACTGAAAAACACATTCAACAAACGAGATTTGCGTAATTCCTGCAGCTCAGCTTCAGCTCGACGGTGAAGAGAAGGTCTCGTCTCGCGTCGGTTTGTTGTTTGCCGGTTTTGTTGGGTTTGTTCCAGGCTATAGCTGGTTGTTCTCCACCGATGTTGTTGTCAGTATATCTGTCTGTCTGTTTGTAGTTCTCCTCCTGGATGCGAATGCTGCTGATGCTGCTGCTGCTCTTTGAGATTCCTCTGCCGTGTGCTGAATACCCTTGGCCAAGAGGGGTTACCTGTGGTACTGACAATGCAATTATCTTTGGGAGATATGAAGGTTTTTCCAAGGAATATCAGTCAAAAGTAAGCTAATATATTCCCTTAATTCTTGTCTAGGGAATATTGAAAATGATAACCAATCAGAAACTATCACAGTTGTGTTCTAAAGATCTTAACATATAGGAGTATAACCCCCTCAAAATCGTGGTTTCCTTATAAAATCTAGAGTATTTTAGTAATCGGTTTCATTCTCAAAAGTTCCAGCTCCTCCTTACTCCACAGATGCTGGCAGTTTAGAAACGTCGCTGTCTGTTTACGAGAGTTTTATTTCGCATGCCACGCCAAACGGCACAAAGCCTGACAATGCTCAATGCGGACTTGGCTGCGAATGTGAATGTGAATGTGGCTAAGACTCAGCCTTTGACTCTGACTCTGACTTTGGCTATCCGACTCAGGTTCGGAATCAGCTTTAGCCACAGCTTTAGCGGTGCCCTGGCCTTAGCTGCGATATGAGTTGTGAGCCCGTCATCGTCATCGTCACATAGCGGCATTTCTTATTCTGTTTTTCCCCCATTTTTTGTTTGTTTGTTTGTGTTTTTGGTTAGCGGCATGTTTGGGCTGTTTTTTCTGGGTTGTCGCTGGTTTTTCTAGGGGTTTTTTTTGGCCTGTTGACGCTTGTCACAGCTTTCCGGCACACATTTTCTTTTTTTTTTGGGATTCTCTTTGAGGGTACAAGTCTTTGCCTTGGCAAAGCTAATACCAGCTCGATATGTGCATCTGGGCGTTCTTGCAAAGCGAATGAAATATTGCACGTGCAACTGTTCAAACTGTTCGAACTGTTCAACTTGTCTTGGGCTTTTCCGGCTGGACTGGAGCTACGACTTCCGCCGCAGCGGCATCACTTGCATTTTCCGCCATCTGCACGATGTCTGTGCAAATGCTGGGATATCATTGTTTGGCTGGCAAATATTTCTACTCTTATCCGAACGAACAAAGCCAAGAAAATGGAAGTTTGGCACTGAGAGAAATATAGGTTTTAAAAATATTACACATTTGAAAAATGAGGCTTTCTCCCTTATCTTCACCAGTAATAATTACTATGCTAACTTAAATAATTTTCCTCCCTTAAATTCAAGCACTTAAGGCCTAATTCTTCCAGGTGTAAACGTCCCTGGTCCGGGACTCACCTTGAATTTCTTTGGCGCTTTGTTCGCTGGCCCATTCAAACGCTTGGGCAAACAAACAGCGAAGCTGGAGCTCTCAGCTCTCAGATCCCAGCTCCACGCTCCACTCTTGGAGCTTGACAGGGCGCAAGAAGTGGGACCGCCGCTGCTGTCTCCGTTCGCTGTTTCAGATTCTGGTGCCCCGGACCACCAAGTGAGTGAGTTATCTGATGGCCGTCCAGCTGGCATCCCATCCCCATCGCAATCCCCTTTTGGCCTGCCACCCACCCATGGAACTGGCCACCCGCTGGAGCTGGAGCTCCGATCTGTATTTGCGTTTAAAGTTTTTTTGATTGAATTGTTGCAAATTGTTTGCAAATCTATTGCTTCAGTCCCCCTGTGCGGCTCCTCGACGATTGAACAATTGCTTTTTGTCTTGTCTGCGGTCCGGTGCGGGGGCTTTTGTGGCCAACGCAGATCCAAATGCGAGTATTCAGATATTCAGATATAGCCGGCAAAGTCTCGACTTGACACTGAGTTATGGTTCTGACAGCTGCGAAAGGCAACGAACGAACGGGCGGTCTCTTGGCCAGCTTGGCTTGTTCGCCTTTCGAGCCAAAAATGTCTGCTTCTTTTGGTAGGGCGCTTTTTGGTTAATCCTATTATGAACCGAAGCGCAACTTCAGCAACAGATAAAGTAATTACCCCAGCTGCCCAAAAAACGTCAGACACAAAAAAAAAAAAAGAGAAAAGAAAAGGGCACAGGCGGGGAAACTGTTTCGCTGACTTTGCCAAAAAAAAGGTAAAACATTTGGGGGATTTTTGGGTCTAACCTTTTGCCCCTTATTAATTACGTCATTTAATACGGTTGAAAGCGAGAGTATTGTAAATTTTGGAATTCGGTTACGCTTACAGTGCACTGGAAAAATATATAATAACTGGACTACAGGAAGTACTTGCTACTTGTTTAAATTAGGTAATTAAAACATTATGGTGGCATAAAAGAAAAAATTTCAATACGTTTATCTACGTTTAATTATATATTTTGTATGTAAGTTACTATTATAAGAATACTTTTTTTATGCAAACTTGATTGAAGTTTCAGAACGTAAACATTATTCGCATAATCTATTGTTTTTAGAGTACCTTTGTTCTTATTAAACATTCACCTTTTTTTCGTTATTTAAATTCCAGGGGTCAATCCAATGGTATGGCCTTCGAAAATGGCCCGAATTACCGGCCATAACTGGACGGCACTAATGTTGAATTTAAGCATCACAGATACACCCAGATACATTTTGCCCAGGTGTGGGTGGCTGAAATCTAGACGCCGGCATTTATTTAGCCATTAAACACGCTTCATGGGGCTCTGCTTATTTTCATTTTCATTATCAATTTGAGCTCGCGCTAGCTGCGTCCGGTTTTCGGTTCGGTTCGGTTCGGTCAGAATGGAATGGAATGACTGTAAAAAAGCTTTTAACTTAATTATGTTGGCCATAAACTGCAGGTTTATTTCGACCAGCCCAGCGACCGGCGTGCGAACCACGAGCGGGACTCTAATTAAATGTCGCCCGGGGGCCTGGCCAACATTTTCGCCCATACACTTGGCCAGGAATTACGTATGGCAATGGTTGTGGCTGTGGCTTTAGCTATGGCTATTTCAGATACCGAGTTGGTCCGGAGGGGGGACTGAAGTGTTTGCTCGTGAAACACTCAAACTAACCATTTTCCATTTCGACCTGTCATTGTGGCCAGTGTGAAGTGCGCTGGGAATGATTTACATAAATTCTCAAATGGCACCCTGTATTGACAGAATCAAGCGCTGGCCAAACAAAGCCCACACACACTCTTGGCCAGTTGGCAACTCTTGGCTGAGTCGAGGCGGCTTTAACCGTTAAGAAATAATTATATAACCTTATCCAGCAATAACAGGCTTATACCATTTTGGCCGCCTCGAACTCGGTCCGTGGCTCAAGTGCCAAGACCACGGCGAGAAGTGCCGCTCTGCTTGGGAGCACTTCAGGCCAAGTTACCAACTCGAGTTGGACTTCTACTGCGGCGGTGCTGTGCCCCGGCCGAATGTCATTAGCATGGTAAGCGTGATAAATGGCCCACAAACTCACAGATTTGGTCTATATATATATGGATGTGTACTATATAGAGGTGCACACGTTCCCATCTGGCTGCAGAGGTACATGTCTGGGCATGAAGTCGTCAAAATCATTTGTCACAGTTTTGCCAGCTTTTAAGTGGCTGTTTGGCTGGATGACTGGATGGCTGACTGGCTGGCCTCCAGGGCCACAGCCGCGCCAGAGGCTTTGTCCCAATCTTCGACGGGTTCAACTCCATTTTTCAAACTTTTGTCTCGCCAACTTTAAGATCTCTTGTAATTTTTGTGGCAACACTGGAGTATACAATGGGTTCTTAGGGGAATGAGAAAATTCCGAGTTAACTGAGTTCTTTTTCCCACAAATTTGTTAATTCTTTTGTTCTTAACTTGGACTCTTATAAAATATAAGCTAGATTAATTAATTTCAAACTAATTTGGTTAGTTTTGAAGTTTTCTTTCAACAATTATTTAGTTTCATATTCAAATATTCACAATAATTATTCCCAAATGTTAGCAATTAAAATCAAAACTAATTATAATTCATAGCCAAATAATTTCAGCGAATTTCATTCATAACTTTGTGTCCGTGTTTGTTTTTCATTTGTCAACTTAAATATAATCCGCAAGATAACGCATTCCAAAAAATCACTCAGACGCAACGTTTAACACAGCTCTTGGCATGGCCATGAAATATCGATTACGCAACTGCCGCTTTTGCCAGATGAGGAGACAGATGACGAGACAGACAGACAGACTTAGAGAGAGAGACTGATGTGAGATATATATTGCAGCATTGACTGATGTTGTGGATATAACTGTTTCGGGTAACTCGGCGCCAATGGAAATGCAAAACGAGTCAACCGCAAAGTGAACTCCTCATCAGCTCTCTCATCTTTTCTACACTGCCAGCAGTGGCCTTTAACTCGAAATTGAATAAATAAAATTTTATGGAATTGGTACTATTAAATTAACAATTTGAATAGAGTTTATTTATTATATTTGTATACCCTTGTCAGGGTATTATAATATCAATCAGAAGCTTAAAACACAGTGAAGCAGTCATTTCCGACCCTATAAATCATATATATTATTGATCAGCACAAAAAGGAGAATCGATCTAGCCATGTCCTGTTGAAAAATACATTTTTGAAAATTTTTCAAAATTTGAAAATTTTATAAAGGGTTACATCATTAAAATTGTCAAAATTTGACCAAAAATTGAATTTTCTAAATTTTAAAACTAAGTATACAGATTTGTTAGCGCTATAAAAACTAGCACCGGAATGGTTTCCGAATTGAAATTAATGCATTTTTGTCCGAGTTATGATATGTTGAACCTTCGATACCATGATCCAATGGCATACTGCGAAGAAGTTAGTTTAACAGCTTGTTAAATTCCTGAAAAAGTATTATTTAAACGTTTTCTTAGAGTAAAAAAGAATTTAATTATTGATAGATCTACATTTCCATTATGGGAAATAAGAAGAAACTGAATATATGCATAGGAAAGCAACTCACAGAGAGGTGCCTCCGTTGTCTTTCATATTTTTAGAAGTTGCTTACAGTACAAGTTATATATTTTTTCAGTGTAGATCCCTTGAATGTTTTCCCCCTCCTCCCCCTCGATTGTCACTAATGGCAGACTGCAGCCGTTTGGTTGGTCTTTAAGTGCGTGCGCTTAGTGCCATCGGCAGCCGTCAAAATCAACACAGCAGCATGGCATTGCTGTCCGGGTTTGCTGTTGTTGCCGGTTGTTGGTGTCGCTGGTGGCAATTTGACAGACAGTTGGGGCAAACTCAGTGTCTCCCTTTGGATACCCTTCCCCTACCCTGCCCTACCCTGCCTGAAGCCGTGTAAATAAAATTACGTTTCGAGGCTGGCGGCCACACGCATATTTTTTGTGCCTTTACTCCGCGACTCTTGGACATTTTTGCATATCAGGTCGTCGTCATCGCAGCAGCGCGGCTCTTTGAGTTTTCATTCATGGGGCTGGCTTTCGACGTTGTTTGTCGTGGCTTTTTTTCCAGGGTTTTCGGAATTTGTCGGCGAGTCTTTTATCAATCATGTGGCCGTCGTCCGACGAGGTGAGTCGCCCGGGCGACCGGGGCCAATAATGACAAGCGATAAGTTGCCAGCGAGTAAGTGAGTGAGTGAGTGAGTGGTACTTGCTCTTTGCTGCTGCTGCTGCAATGCCTTACCTCAGTCTAAGCTCATTAATAGTGACCCCCGGGGCAAGTGAGACCGGCCGCAAACCAGGCATTGTCAAATTGTGGCCACGCCTCCTAATGCACAATGTGCGAGGCCCGCGGCGATTTGGCTTGTAAAATTATTATAAATCTCCGCTGATGAGCTGTGATTATTAGCGTTTTACGTGCTCCAATTTTTGCTCATGCCACGAGCTGGCAAGTGTCATTAGTCAGTTCTTGGAATGGCTAAACTAGTCTGTCGTCGTCGTGGCCATAGTCCCCAACCCGATTCCCGATCCACATGCCGGACCTCAAGTCGCTCGATCAATCAGGAACCGAGATGCAACTCCACTCATCGCCGTGGGCGATTCACGCTCAACTGGTCCAATTACCGCACACACTTGCAGCTCAGCGGGAATACTTACATAGTATGTTAAGTATACATTTATGTATGTACAAGGTATGACTTCGGGGCGAATGCATAATTAACTGTGCGGCCCTTTAAGTCACTGCTAATTATGTCGCAGACCGCACAGGCATCGCAGGCGAGTTGACATGAATTTGCATTGAATATGATCGGGCATCGTGTTGTAGTTGAACTTTATCAGAGCTGAAAATCTGCAGATTAATCTGCATTATTCATAATGCATAACCCTACACAAGGTTGATTTAAAAAGGAAGTTCAAAAATAGTTTCCATAACTACTTGCCTCTAGGGTTATACTTTGCCTATTTATATTTCATAAGTTTATAGTCCAACTTACATTCAAATTGTATGCTCAACAAAGACATTTCTCATTTAACATAATCTTCTACCCAGATTAATCCTAGATTACTTTGAAATGAAAACCCAGGGAAACCCAGAGTTATTTTTCTGTTTTTGACAAGAACAAAATTAATTTTCCTTTGACAATTGTTTTCGGCCCATAAATATGAATGTGATTTATCCACAATCGATATAGTTTTCAACATGGGAACTATACAACATGTCATCGGGCGCGTTTTATAGCTTTTAAATGAAATTTCCCAAGACTATTCATAACTGATTTATGCCCCCGATTCGGTCCTCGGAATATTTTTCAATTAAAAGACAAAGAGGAGAGACAAATACAAATATGCTGGCTCCGAGATTCATTTTCATGTGGATTTTATTGGACAAGTTTTGCAGAGGTTTGCTGAAATCAAAGACCAGAAACCAGGCCGTCGCGACGGCAGCACAGTCAGTGTGTGTGTGTGTGGAGAAAAATCACAACAATTTATTTGATTTGCCCGCACAATGATGCCAACTATGAGATGGCGTGCAAAATCAGCACAATTTTTCCACAGCTTTCAGCTTTCAGCTCCCATGTCCCAGGTCTCGGATGACGGAGACAAAGGGCGACAACGAGATGCGAGGATGCCACTGCCACTGCCTCAGCATCAGCCTCAGTCAGGCGACCCATTTAATTTGGCAAACGTGAGCAGTTTTAAGCCAAGAGATGGATGGCTGGAAAAGCGGGGGAAAACGCTGAGGGAAAAGCGGTGAAAACAGAGGGACACCGTTAGACATCTGTGGCTATGGACGTGTGAATGATGACACTTTGCATGTTTGCCAAGTCACAAGGCCCTGCACTAAATATTGATGAGGGTGAAGGCACACACCCCTTTTCCACATCGCACCCCTTGAAACTTTGGGGCACGTGCAAAGTATGCAACACTTTTTGTCATTCAACGGAGACCACAAAATGCTGTTGACGATGATGATGATGATGATGATACTGATGACAGAGGGGGCGTTGAGCGAAAGCGAAAGAGTTGGTTATGTTTACACGGGGGGTTGACAGCGCAGGGAAAAACTAAACTGTTAGGGGCTGAAACTCACCTTGATCTCGTGTATAAACTCGGTTTCATCCAGCAAATTAATGCGCACGGACATAATCCGTGATGGGCGACAAAGGCAGTTCATGTTGCTTGCTGTGCGTTTCTCCCTCTGTCTCCAGTGACAAGATTAAGTATACGCCGCGTTCGACATTTTCTGCAATGGCAAAAAAAAAGATAGAAAGTGGCAATTAATATGTGCGGGTAATTAACAAGTGCTATGCAGTTATCATCGTCTGTGGCAATTAGTCGGAATGCAACTGCATTTGCAACTGGTTTGCTTGATGCATGGGGAGAAAATTAGATATTATAGTAAAATTTTAAGACAAAGCAAGGATTTCCTTATTAAAAACCTCATCAATAAAACCGTACATGATGATGAAACAATTTTCCTTAAACAAATAATGAAGTAAATATTATTATTAAGAAAGATTTCCAAATCTAAAAGAATATTTTAAATTATTTGTGAATTTAAAGTCATTTTTATACCCCTAAAGTGTAAGTCAAAGGCTTGTTAACCAGTGAAGGAGTCAGGAGTCAGTAGTTTCCGACCCTATAAATCATATATATTCTTGATCAGAATCATAAGCTGAATCGATCTAGCCATGTCTGGTCAAAAAATATTTTTTTGACATTTTGTCGAAAATTGAAAATTTTATAAGGGGTTACATCATTACATTTTACATTTGTCCAAAAAAACCTTGGCCCTTTGAAGTTACCTTTCTTGTTAACAACATTTTTCCTTTATAAAATAAATGTTTATTTATTCAATTTCGTTTATTATTTTCTTGCTTAAGAACCTCTTTATTTAAAGTGTAATAAGGTAACTAACGCAGATGCAACTATCTCTGGCATTTGACTGAAGCTAAAGCTAGAGTATCTCATTCCCTGACTAGGCCTTGTTTTAATAACTCTTTTGGCTTCGTCGCCGTTTATCTGCAACGCAGATCAGCGGCAACAGCAACATCAGCAGCAACATCAACATCAACAGCAGCAACAGCAACATCAGCAGCAACAGCAACATCAGAGGCAATGACAGTCCAACTGTCAGCGGTTGCCGCTCCCTAGTTGGGCATTATCATTATAATTTTATAATTGCGGTTGTTTGCCGGCGATAAGTTTAATATGCATGAAGGGAAGGGAAGGGCGAAATGGAAGTGGCAATGGCAATGGCAGCGGCTGGCAAAGAATCACCTACGGCAACAACAACAAAAGTCACTTAAGCGGATTAGTTAAAGGGCCTCTCACAGTGTTTGTGTTTCTGTGTGTGTGTTGGCCAAAAGCAGATTATGTCATTAGAGTTATAGTACATGGTCCCAGAAGAGTAGAAGCAGAAGAGTGGCAGAGCGGAGGCACTGAGCACCGTATCGGAGGAGGAAGCGCCAGGCTTTGGCCTGCCACGCTTTAATGGGCCAGTTTTAAGTCATCATGACGAAATACTGGGGACAGTCGCACCCCCGAAAAGAAATGCGGCCGATAAAGGGGCTCCCTAAGTACCCCTAAGTATGTATGATAGACAACTGCATGTGACGTTCGCTAAAGCAGTGACTAACATTTTAAGATTGCGCTCCCGTTCGCCCCAGTCCGGACTAACATTTCAACAGTTGATCCCGTCAAATTAGTTTGAGCCCCGAACGAAATTAAGCCACGGCAATGTCTGTTGTATTTCACGTTGATATCTCTCGGCAACTTCACACGAATTTCGCCGACGAAGTCGGAGAAAGAGCACCGAGTGCAGAGTACTCACTACTCACTACTCAGTACACTGCGTTCGCCTTTTGTAACCAACACACACAGTACTATATGGTACTATATAGTAGTGGTAGAGTACATGCAAAATAATTAATGTGCACTCGCCTAATGAAAGGCAACGGCAGCAACAGCAGCCGAGGAGGAGCTGCTGGCAACAAGTGCAGCGGCTTGCCGGCTTTTCACACATATTTCACATGGCCCCGCAGACCTCAAGACAGTTGTTTTGCATAGGATATATGGTACTACACTATCCTATGGTTAGCCGTGTGTGCTTTCATTAGGGGCTGGCACATTTCCCAGTGGCGCTCATTACACTAATGAAATATTATGCCTAATTAATGGAAAGTCGCCTGCCAACTTGACTGGCATCTGTCACACATCTGTCTTTAACTTGGTCACTCTGTCAACGCGGCAGCAGCAGCGTGAGCAGCATCGCACCAACAGCAGCAACATCGCAGCAACATCGCAGCAGCAACATCAATTAAAATGCAGCATATTTATGTGAATGACAGGCGGCATGAATGGACGTTGTGGAGAATGTGGAGGAGACGCAGTGGAAATAATTTTAATTGCAGCCAAACGCACGCAGCAACAACAAGTTCATTCAACTTGCCGACACGCCCCCGCCTCCCAGCTCTTTGGCACAGCGGAAATTACAATTTACATTTATGTGCCGCACTTTTACGATGGCATTTTCCAACATTTTCTTTAAATTTAATGCTCATCTCGTTAAGCGGCCCGCCTAGAAGTTATGTATATTTAAATGGGAAGCAATTTGGTGGGCCATAAACTGATTAATTGCCATGTGAGCTTCAAATAACCTTTTCCCGTACCGGCTTTCAAATCGATGGAAAAATAAAAACCAAACTTAAATCCCAAATGTTCAGCAACTTTGGCAAAGTTAACCGCAAGGCAATATGTGTTCTTGGGATACCCAAAAATCCTGCACACACACATGATAAATATGCCATTGATCGATTTTTGAGCAGTTTCGCCCGCCTTTCCTCTCCGCATTTATATATGACACTGGGGAAATTTATCGCCCCGGCATATTTATAGCGTCATATCTTTATGCCCGAGCCTGTGTTTACAGGACATCATCAACATCAGCATCGACTTCAGGCAGCCAGCGACACCCTCATAATTTCTTTTCCCATCAAATTTATCACAGCGGCAGCAGCGGGCGGTGGGCGGTGGGCGTGACTTTTGGCCAGAACCCCTCCCCAGAAACTCCCACCCCCTGCTGATGGGTAGGGGAAAAACTTGGCTTGATTTGTGATAAAGTGCGTGTGGCATTTGGCAAAGGCCAACACACACCCGCCTCCTCTCGCCTTTGCCTATTTATCAGACGAAACTTTGCTTTCAATTTTCCGGGGGATTTTACTACTTTCCTGCTCGTCCCTCTACGTTCTTTATACCCGCTACATTTTTGTTTAAAGGGTATGTTGTATTTGTTCTTTTGGGTTATTAAATAGGAAAAAGAAGCAGTTTTCCCCTGAAAAATTCTTACACGAAATCCACTGCTGACAAAGGTATTGACAATTTAATTTAATTTGGAGCTATATACAAACAAATAAGAGTTCTGCCTTTACAACCAACCAAACCTTCATTAAAGGGATTTTACCAGCTTCCTCTCAAAGTTTTCTCCTTAAAGTATTCAACCTTTTTGGCTAAACTGTGTGCTGAGTATTTCCTAAACGAGACACTCCCTCGTTACCTTTCTCCTTATTTTTCCTTAAGCTTTTTCCGGGCGGTATATTAATAATATTTCTGCAATACACATACACAATGTGCCCCTGTTCATGGCTTACAGCTCTCCCTTTTGCCACGCATCATCATAAACCCCCACGACTCCCTACTTGCATTCATTTCTGCTTTTCTTGGCTGATGGACGGACCAAGGCAGCGTATCAATAACTGAAAATGTCTCAAACAGCATTTTGTCATATTTCAATGGATCATGGGGACCCTTCGTCCCGATGCTTTTCCGCACATTTCCTTCGCTCCGTGTTGCCGTTTTATGTTTGCGGAAGTAACACCGAGCCAAGTCAGAGGAAAAGGCGAAAGGCGAAAGGCAAACAAACTTTCAGCACATACTACATCTGGAGCTGGAGGGGACAGACTCCGGTGGAGTTTTTCGGTCTGATTCTGGCACTGGCACTAGCTCTGGCTAAACGAAATTATTTATTACTCGCTCGCTGTGTGCGTAGAAGCTGCTGCTGCTGCTGCTGGTAATGATGATGAAAAACGTGAAAGCATCGAAAAGTGCAAATGGCAAAGAAAAAGGTGTGCGAGAGTCTGAAATCAGAAGGATTGCCCGGCCTCAGACACCGGAGCATGCGAACCTGATCCTGAACCTCGGCGAGTGCCAGAGCTTAATGATGATTAAATGGGCGCTCCGGGTTTTTTGGCATTAGATGGGGGGATATTGAGGGTGACTCTAAGGCAGTGATTTCCTCCTCTTTTTAGTTGGTTGATTTGACTATGAAATGGAGCTTATTGGTTCGGTTCTGGGGGCGGGCAGTGAGATGTAAATAACTCTCAAATGAGCTGGAAAATTGAAGCCAAGGGCAAAGGCATTTATTTTTTCGCAGACTCCGAATGACTGGAGACTTAATGGAGGAGGTGTGCATGCCATGACTTCGGGGAAATTCCGCTCTCTGACGGACAGGGAAGGGTTCTCCAGCGAGCAATGACATAATCCCGGCCAGAATTAGTTGGAAAATTATATCTCCACTCGATGCTCCTCTTGAGATATGTATGTACATATGCGTGTGCAAAATTACTTAATATTTGTTCACGAGTTACTCGTCTTGTTCGCCGACTTCAGTGCTAATTTCCAAGAATTTTGCTAACTCGGCTCATTCCCTCAAAGCCATATGCATGGCTAGCTATGCAGAGAGAAAAATAATGCAGGACTTTCCATTTAAATATATATGATTAAGTTGTGAAAGCTACAGAGATTTATAGCTGCTTAATTGGCTTTCATTTAATATTTATAAGTGCAGGAAAATATATAGTAATTATAAGTGAATAAATGACCGATTTTCCTCACATTTCTCTCTGTGCTTGGCGATAGCCAGAGTCATGGACGTGGCCACAAAAGCAGGCAAGTTGGCAATCCGCAGGCGGGCATAAATTTTACAGCCACCACACACAATTGCCACATAACATATGAGGTGGATTGGATTGGTGGTGGTGGCAAGGATACGGGGTGGCAGCAGCGGTGGAGTAGCCCAAGTCGGGTGGGGCGTTGGGCGTGGGCCCGGCATACCTTGAGGCATTTGCAGCAATTAACACGGTCGACGGCATGTCTTGGCGCCCACTTTCCACGACGGCGACGGGGTCCACAATCAGACTCAGATTCACAGCCTCCTGCTGCTGCTGCTGCCGCTGCTGAGCGTTT